TCGCACTGCGGGGTCGTGCCCTGCAATTGGCGCATGCTCAGTGGGCACCAAGTATCTGGAGATCCTAAACCCTAAGCCCCAAAAAACCCTGTAAACCGTAAGCCCTCAGTGCAATACCCTTGGAACACACCACTGCCTGCGACTCAACTGGACAAGTGCCCACCCATCAAGCCAGGCGGATTCGTTCAGAGAGTCTGATCTTCAGATTGTTCATACCTGGGGTCCTAACCTGAACCCTATAATTATAGGCTTCAAATCGGAGTCCCGACTGCCGCTGGCTTGCGCAGATACATCACCCTAAACCTCCCCACTTTTTGAAAGCCGCCTGAAGGATCGGCTGCTCGGTGGCGTTATCAAGCACGCAGTGCCAGTCCTGACCAAGTGGGGCACGTGGTGGAGCGGCTGAAAGTGAGGCTACCAGGATGGGCTATTGGGCCCTATCATCCCCGTTTTTGCAGGAGGCTATAGGGTATAATGGCCCATGCTGGAAATCAGCCTGAACCATCCCAGGCAAGTGCAAGGGCTGGATGGCAGAGTCAGCCAGGATTATGCACACTCGAAATCTGAGATTGTTGAGACACCACCTGACTCTCAGAGGTGCCCGTGCATCTTACGAAGCTCTGGCCCTGGCAAGGATAGAAGCCCAACCCATCAGCCCCACCAGGTTACATGCACTATGCAGAACCCGAAACCTTGCATTTGCAGCTGTGACCTCCTTAGTACAGCGACTTAAAACAACCAAAGCCGGCTGCGTCCCACTGCCATAGAAGCAGAAAGCGGCCAGCAAAAGCCGCAAACCTAAACCCCTCCCGACTCCCGAGCAGCTGCTTCTTCCCTTTTCCCACGGCTGCCTGAGGTTCACCGCCAACAAGGCTGTACCTCAAGCGGAGTGCTCTCGTGCCTTATAAAGCCAGTGAAGTCGTGACGCAGGTCCCCTGTAGCGGGTGCCGTGTACAGGGAGCCCCGGGTAACACACATTCACACGCACACGCGCCCGTGCGAGCGCGCGGGCACGTGCCCACGCCGGTGCCCGTGCACGCACCGGTGCCGGCACATGCGCACGCACGCGCGCGCACACGCTCGCAAACACCCACACACCCAGACACCCCCACACCCCCACACCCACGCACCCATGCACCCATGCATGCACCCACGCACCCACCCACGCACCCACACACCAACACACCCGCATCCACACCCACAGACACACACACACACAAACAAACACACACATGCTACCCACCTCCCGCATGGATCCACGATTGTTGCGGCTGGCGCTTGTGCAGTGAGTTTTGGGTGGAACGAAATAATGCATGAAGGCCTTTGGCTCCTGCAAATGATATGGCCTTTGTAATTATAGAGCAGCCTATCAATGATTGGACTTGCCGTTTAGTGCATACTATGTTGTTGCATGCTAAGTAGAAGTATAGGAAGCTCAAAATTTTGCTAGTTCAAAACGCTTACAGCACTAGGAAATCCCAGGAACTACTTGCAGGTCCATGAACAACTGAGGGGTGCAAGGGTTTAGGGCCTTCGAACCCCTATTCTTGCAGACTTCAAGCCCCAAGCGAAATGCACAACGCAACCGACGCCGAAGGCAAGTGGCCCGGTGGCGCAGAACGCGGTGCAGGAGCCGCCAAAGGTGATATCCTGGACAAGACGACCAACGTACACCCCGACCCCAGCCCATTACAGGTTCAGGTTTTGCTGTGTTTGGGCAGGGGGGCTAGGTTTAGGGTTTGCGCAATGCGCTACACTGCAGAAACAAATCCAGGAAGCTTTTCAGTATGTGCGCTACAGTGTTACAGGACATACCAACGGGTGTTGAAAGGATGTATAGGACGTCCCTTGCGGCAATCGGTAGTATAGGCACTTTTGGGGTTGCAAAGAAGGCCACCAAAAAGTGTGACATGGACCCTACTTGTTCTGAGCGTGTACATGTTCAAAAATTGCATGAACCAAAATTGTTCTGAGACCGCAGTTTTGCCATGTTAGCAAGGACTGCGTACGTGCAAGCCCCCAGGAAGAGACATATAAATATATTAACATATATGGACATATATATATATATAACGCGCATGTGTATAAACATACATATCTGATACCTATAGTTTCACCGCCTTTACATTGTTTATATGAAGCGTTTACAGAGACATCTATATCTATATATATACACATAAATGTCTCTGTTTTCATGTCTATATATATTTATATAGCACATGAAGATCTAGACCTATAAATGTATGAGTATATCACACACACATATATGTATATACATATATGTTTTTATATAGATATTTACTTAACACACAAAGACACACACACATATACATATATATATATATATTTATATTTATCCACATGAAATACATAATTAAATTCTACACATTGATTTATAATGCATATATCCATGCATTTCTAGATAGATATGCATCCCTATATCTCTTTGTGATATGTAGTTATCAAGGAAGATTGAAGACAAGCTAGTGTCGAGGGATGCAAAAGGGGAAGAAGGGGGGGGGGTGGGGAGGCAGCTTGCGAATTTCAGGATAGAATTGCCCGCAGGGTTTCGCGAATTTCACGCCCGGGGGGGCGAAATGTCATGACAAAAGCTGCAGGGGTCCGAAATTTTCACTCGAAATCCAGCTTCGCGAATTTCACGGAATTTCACGCCCAACCGGTTGTATAGGACATCCTATGGGGGAAATTTCACGCAATTTCACGCCATTTCACGCCGGGCGTTTCTTGGCAGATTTGGGAGAGACCCCTGCGTTTCAGAAATTTCACGCAATTTCACACGGACTTTTGTAGAATTTCACGGACAATTGTAGATTTTCACGTAATTTCACGCTGAATTCGTGGAAATATCACGCTGAATTTCACGCTCAGTCTCGAGGACGTAACCGGAATTTCAAGTTCGCGGCAGGTCGCGGTGAATTTCGCAGAGTTTTTTTTCTGCGAAATTCACCCTGAAGTTCATGGAACATTACGTAAAAAGCCTAGAAACCCTAAGCCCTGCATGAACCCTATATATGGTCCAGTGCTCCCCGGCCCCCCCCTCCCCCCCCACCCCATGGTCTGGAACCCCCCCCCCCCCGCTGTGGTGCTGTGGTGTGGTTGGGGGTTGGTTTTAGGGTTTAGGGTTTAGGGTTTAGGGTTTAGGGTTTAGGGTTTAGGGTTTAGGGTTTAGGGTTTAGGGTTTAGGTTTTGGGTTTAGGTTTTGGGTTTTGGGTTTGGTTTTGGGTTTAGGGTTTAGGGTGGTTTTAGGTTTAGGGTTTAGGGTTTAGGGTTTGAAAGGTTTTAGGGTTAACCCCCCCCCCCTGTGGTGTGGTTGGGGGTTGGTTTTAGGGTTTAGGGTTTAGGGTTGGTTTAGGGTTTAGGGCTTGGGGTTTGACAGGGTTTAGGGTTAGAGACCGTAGACCTGGAGGGGGAGGGGGGGGGGGTAAACGCCTCACACACATAGGTTTTCCCGAGGGCGTGCTCCCTCAACCCAAGGCACAACACTCACAAAACACGGGTTTTGCCGAGGGTCGGCCCCCCCCCCCCCTACCTGACCATACCATTGGGGGGGGGGGGGGCCGGACACGCCAGACGCCGGACCATATATAATTAAACCCTAAACCCTAAACCCTACATAGCCTAATACAAATACCCAACAAAAGTCGCAAGCGTGTTTACTTTGGGTTCCAGGTTCGTTTAAACAGAGGTTGAGGTTGGGGTTGCTGTTTTAGGGCTTTGGGGATCTAGCGGTTCTAGGGTTGAGGGGTTTAGGGGTGTATACAAGCTATATGAGCATGCGCATGCATGAACATGCGTGATGCATGCATGATGATTGAGCTCGCTGAAGGCAATCCATGCATGCATGTTCACGGTATATATATATATATAGGTCTCGAACATGTACACATATATAAAGAGAGAGAGAGAGAGAGAGAGAGATTGGGGGCATATACGAACAACAGACACGTGTGGAAAATGGACCATATCCCTAAACCCTAAACCTACAACGAAAACCGTCTCTGTCATGTATCGTGATTGCATCGGCACCTGTTTGGATGTTTGTGCTTTGGTTTTGGATCCATGTAAAACCATCTCAGACACCAATCTGAAAGCCATGTGGGACCTATACTACCGCTCCTTATGTCCGCTCCTTGCATCCTTTCAACACTCGTTGGTACGTGTGCACCGATGGGATCTGCAAGGTTGTCCCCCCCCCCCCCCCCCATAAATGCTCGACGGATGGCTTGTGCTGCCTTGAGAATCCTATTATAAGCCCAAACATGAAAACAAGGGCTAAACCCTTTTTGCCACTGGACTGAGGCCTAGCCAGTATTATGCGAAGCAACCGGGGGGAAGGGCAGCACATACCAATCACTGATGAGCGCCACCCGCTGAACTTTCACCAGCTCCAGGCAATGTCAAGAAGCGGCGAGCGGAAACGTCAACAAACCTATGTTAAAATTTGTCTGTCCTTTCCATCCTCTCTCCGCTGTTCCTTCAAAGCAAGACGACGGGCTCTGCCACATTCCTTCAGAACCTCTAGTGCACCGGATCCTTCTCTGAGAGAGGCATCGGCACCCACACATCACTGCCGCAACTACCACCAGCAAGGTGAAAGTGATGAGGAGCCTGCAAAACCTGTGAAAACGCAACATGCTGTTGAACATATTTGAAGCGCTGCTGATCTGACAGCCCCTTCATGATCTCGCGTCTCAGCATCTGGGGTTGTCTTGTGCGCCGTCTGCCTATGGGCTAAACCCTTAACCCTAAACCGTCATAGAAGCCCTCTGCCTTGCCGGCAGGCCTAGCAAGGTCTGACTCCTCTGAACCTTTTCTGTGGGCCTCCATAGACCCCCACTTTGAAGCTCCCCCAAGGTGACTTTGAGGTTTAGGGTTTGAGGCTAGACGCCCTTTTGTTCGCACCCGGATAGCTGGACGAACCACGCCGCCGGGTTCCATCAGGAATGTAGGGTTTCAGGTTTTAGGGCCCATGGCCAGTCTCAGCCCCTGGCTGCGCAGGTGTGCGCCAGCTGTGTCTGCTGCAGCGCCGCGTTGGCGGGACAAGGTGTCGGTCGACCTTTCAGTTCCGACGGGTTTTTTGCTTCGAGTCGAACCACAGTCGAGTCTCAATCAAGGAGCTTACTTCTTCGGGCTCATGCAACTAGCCTTGCGGGGTTTTAGGGGGAAGGCTGACCTTCGTTCAGGAACTCCCTGATGCTTGCCAACATCTACTGAAACCTCCCTGGCTTCCTGTGTGCCAACACAACAACATGGACAGTTGCCCTCTTCCACCCAACCCACCCTGCGCATGGTTCAATGTGAATCTGCAGTGGCCTGAACTGAACCCTCGGGCCCTAAACTCCAAACCTTCAGAAACCGCTTCTCGAGATGTTGTATGTCAAGGCTCAAGTCGGAAGCACCCCCTCCAGTCGACCTGGCGCGCGGGGATAGGACGAATACATCCGAGTACATCCGAAGAGACTTTGCTCGTGGGAAAAAAACGATGGTCAGTTGACGGGAGCTTCGCCGCTGACACTCACATAAGGCAGGCAAAGTAGGCAAAGTTGGGGTTACGTGCCGTAACTGGGACCAGGATACTGCTTCCAGCACACAGGTGTGCACCACACACCTGCACAGCCCCTGCTGCAAATCAGGCCGACAAGTTTGTCTGGCGTCGTTCAGACTTCTTGGGTCGAAACAACACCTGATAACTCTGGACACAGCTGGAACTCTCTGATCACTGAACTGCACTTCCCACTCAGCCCAACAACCACATGCTCTTTCCAAGAACAAAATGGAGGCTGAACTTGCAACGCCGCTGCAAACTTCTGGAACCATTTAAACACTTCCTCGACCATTAACTTCCCTACTTGCCCTTCTCCCCTCCCACCAACGTCAAAATTCCAGAGTGCTTTGTGATTTGTAACCCTAAACCCTTGTGAAACCCTAAACCCCCTACACCCCCCGACGCCCGCAAAGCATGAGCCTGATGTGGCGCCTGGGCTGAAGGGGGCTTCAGCTGTCAGGTTGCGGGTCTTTGTGGCGAGATGTGCGTCCTGAAGGAGGGCCTTCGGCTTCCGCGGTTCTGTCATGGAGTTGAGGTGTTGTGCAGTGTTGTGCTGTCGCTTTGCCGGTCTCTCTCATGGCGTTCCGACTTCCTGGCCTTAGGGGCTGAGAGGTCATTGTTTGGTGTACCAGGTGTGTGGCTTTGAAGGGTTCACGCATCTTTCATCCCAAGCCTGGGCCCTGAAGGCCACACACGGAGAAAAGCGGCTGACGGCTGACTGGGCTGGTACACCATTGCTGCCATGGCGTATGAACAGGAAACCGTGCACGCCACAATCAGATCGCCAGGGCACAGGTGAGGGTCGTCGTTGACGGATTAAAGCCCGGCCGGCAGCTCACGCTGCAGCTTTGGCCTTGCCATGCAGTGTAAGGACGGCTTCAAGGAGCTATGCCCAGGTAGGGTACCTGCATTCTGGGCTTCGATTTATGCAGGTTATAAGGGCCCTATCTCACACAAAAGAAAGGCACGTGTATGACGGTCTAGAGGGCTTTTACTGACGGAGGCCGGACGTGCGCTGTGTTCTAAGCCACGGATAAAGCTAGCCGCCATATAGCTATGCAGTATCTGCAACCACTGAAGCACAAAGAACAGTTCACGTCGTGCGCCATGCAGCAGCACACAGCGGATGTCACAATGTGTAGCTTGACGTGGCCCCACAGGGGGCTTGCGACATGCGAGCAGACAAATCTGAAGTCGCGCGCAAGCGAGCATGCACGCGTGCAGCTTGGATGGCTACGCCAGGAGTTGAGGAGCTCGTTGGCAACTTTCGTGCACAGTTTTCGGCTTCACCAGGTCACAGATTTTTGTTGCGAGGGGGGCAGGGAGGGGCCCTCAGAAGTCAAGACAGGGCTCCTGCCAAGAATCCTCAACCCTTTTAGCCAAAGGCTCCAGGTGCCTCATGGCTCCAAGGCTTGCCAGTGACTTGAATTATGAAATGGTGTTCCTTTGGGGAGTGAAGTGTTTTTGAGGACATATCTTACCCACAGCAAGGCCACACTTGACTCAAGTGACTTGAGGCCAAAAACCCTAGACCTCTTTTACGGATTACAGAGCTCGTTGGAGAGGCCCTCGCCACCTGCAGCTCGCCAAGTTGGCGAAAAGCCTTTTCCAGGCCTCGTGCCAATCAAAACACCCTTTTGCATATCCGGGCTAAAGGCGATTTCTGCCAATTTTAAGCCCTCAACTTGGGATGTTCCCCCTTATACGATAATATTAGGGACTGCGGGCATAAGGGGGAACATCCCAAGCCTCAACCCTCAAACCCCCCAAACCTCCCGGGGGTCCTAAACCCTAAACCCTAAACCCTAAACCTCCCGGGGCCTGTGGTCAGCGTGTCACAGCCATCGGCCGACCAACTCCGGCTCGAAGGCGGCAGGTCGGCGGTGCATGGATTCCCAGAGCAGGCCTTAAAGATCTGGTAGGGTTTAGGGTTTAGGGTTTAGGGTTTAGGGTTTAGGGTTTAGGGTTTAGGGTTTAGGGTTTAGGGTTTAGGGTTTAGGGTTTAGGGTTTACGGTTTAGGATTTGGGGTTTGGGGTTTAGGGTTTAGGGTTTGAGGGGATCAGGGTTTAGGGTTTGAGGGGGTTAGGGTTGAATTGGGGTTTAATTGGGGTTTCGACTCTCGGTGTTAATTAGGGTTTAGGGTGTAGGGAATAGGGCTTCTAGGGCTTAGTTCTCCAGTAACCTGGGGGAATTAAGGTTAACCTTTGGGATTATACGGGGATTATACTACCCCAAAAAGGTTAAAGGTTACCTACTCTACTACTAGGAGGCTTTCTAGGTAAGGGATTCTGAGTAGGGCTTTATTGGATTACATGCCTTGGGTCTTGTACCCAGAAAGGCTCTAAGGACTTCCATTTTAGTATTTTAGGGAATTTTGGTCCCAAAGGATCTGGTACCCTAAGGCTCTAAGGACTCCTATTTTCTTAAATATTGTTAGGGATGTTTGGATCCCAAAGGCCTTCTTATACAAGGTTTTGGGGCTGTCATGAGCCTCAGGGGTAGGGATTTGGGGCTTTGAGTAGGGCTTCTAGGGTTTCTGGGGGCCCTGGATCGAAGAAGGGATTCTGAGTAGGGCTTAGTAGGACTGTGTTGCAGAAAAGCTTACTAGGAGTTTCCACCAAAACCCTGCACATGCCTGAGACTTAAACCCTGAGGGTTTAGGGGTTAGGGTTCCCTGAACCCCCTACAGCTTGTCAGGGCTGAAGGGTTGAGAGGCGGAATACCCCGCAGCCGAGGCACTGGTAGGGAGCCCGAGTATGTTCCATCCGCTTGGCAAATGAACTGCGAGCCCCAGCCTTTCAAGGAACTGGAGTTTTTCACACAGTGTAGAGAGCATAAGATTCGGAGCTTAGATGAATCTAGCAAACTCTCCAGTGCCCAGCAACTCTTCGGTTTTGCGAGGTCCTACCTCGCAATAGCTAGGCTCCTCGAGTCTTCAGGGAAAAGACGCCCTAAACGCTAAGCCGTGAACCCCAAACTGCAAACCTGAAGTTCTGGAAAACAGCCAAAGCCCTAAACGAACCCCGAAGGAATACCACAAACAACATCAGGAGACCCCTCGGACCCCTACAACAAAAAACGCAAGGTAGCTTGAGACTAATTACTGTTTGGGGAATATTTTTTCTGAAGGGAATCGAGTTGCGCAGGTTCGTTAAGTAGCTCGAACCATTAAGGCGCAATTGCTGTCAGGAAGAATCAACTTCAGACCTCCTTGACCTCTGCTGGCAATTAAGGGTGCAGGCTATGGAGCGTAGGCTCTAGGGCTTAGGCACGGCGCTTGGGCCCCTGATCAGTGGACCCAATCCCTCAACCCTGCGTGCAAGTTTATGGGTAGTTACAAACATGATCACAAAGCACAGCAAAAGAAGGCGCTGACCAGCTACGGCGACAGTGCTGCTTCTTGCAGCCTCCGGAGTTTTACCTGGCGAACCCTGGCCGGCTCAAGCCTGGCCTGTCAGATGGTAGCCGGTGGCACAGCTCACACCACAGGTGTCCTGCGCAGGGCTGTCAGATTGCCGACGTAAGAAATCTGGAAACGCCCTCAGATGCATGAACCTCCAAGGAGTCGCGAACCAAAATGCTCAGATATCCCTTCATGTTTGAGTACGTAGTTTTGGGTTTTTCATAGGGCTTTGGGGTGGCCTTCACCCTCAAAAAATCACAAGTAGAGTTGCATAGTGGGTGAGACCAGCGCGAGACGTCCCACGTGAAGAAAGGCTTTTGGGTTTAAGGTTGAGGTTTCCTTCGTTGACTTCGCAGGGACCAGGCGAGGTTCCCGGACGAATTCGACAAATATCAACTCACCCACATCTGTTAAACCAGCCAGTAAATCCCAAGGGTTTGGTGTTCAGGGTTTATGAGATTTAGGTGCTCTGCTTCGGATTCAGGGTTTTCGGAATGGTCAGGCATACTGGGCCTCTAAGCCTCTCACCTGCCCGTCAACCTTGTCAAGCCCGACAAAGCCAAGGACATCTTCAGAGAGCCATTTAAGTAAGAGATCCTTCGTCCTAATATGAATTCGGGCAAATTCCCTAGTTCCGGGGAATCGGGCTCTGTGTGTGTGTGTGTCCTCACACACAGCAACTTCGTCTTGACAAGAACATGCACAGCCCAAACCCTTCCAGCAGTGGTTCTAGGCCTGGGATTATCATGAGTGCGAACTTTTGCTGCCGCCCGCCAGGGACGATTTACCAACCCCGAGGGCAGCTGGAAACCAAACCGCCACCACACACGGCTGAGCAAGCATACCAGCGCTCTTAACTCGCACGTGTAGGGTTTAGGGTTCATAGTTCCTTCTATCATGAGCATGGTTGTTGTCCAGATGCACTTCTGCGGCGTTCGAGGGTGTTTAGTTTTAGCTTCAGCGTTTGAGGTTCAAGGGTTAGTTTAGTGCTCAGGGTGTCAGGTTTTGTTTCGATGTGGCAAGGTCTCGGATTCCGGAAGCTCTGCGGTCAGCTTCACAGGTTCGCGCAACCCCATAAGGCCCTAACTAAACCCCTAAACCCTAAACCCTAAACCCCTAAACCCTAAACCCCTAAACCCTAAACGACCAACCTCCGACCCTGCCACCGGTCGAGCCTGGTACCGTTTCCCCACGCAGTTGTGCGAAAACATCGGCGACACCGACAAGTCCGTGCAAGAGATGCCTTTGGGGTTTAACGATCAGGGTCTGAATTTAAGCTCCAGGGGCCACTTGGGATTCAAACGTCATCTGGCTCAACCCTGCAGAGTGTGCTTGTAGCCTGCCTCGGTTCATACTGAGACCTTTGCTTCCTCAGCAGCTACCCAGGGTTTACGGTTTAGGGTTTAGGGTTGAGATAGGTATGCGGCTTTCGGTCTATCTTAAGGACTGGCATGGACATGGCTAAAGACTCGCATCTTTTGTTGGTATTTATGTGTGTGTGACCTCTTTGTTAGCTTCAGCGAAACCACTGGCACCAGTAGAGGGGGTGTATGCACCCTTGCACTCCCTATGTCTCCCCCCATCCTGGTTGACTTACTTGGGGTGTGCAACCTCGCAGAGTTGAGAGCGGGAGGGGGGGGGGGAGGGGGACTTGCGCGGTAGGCGTGCTGCCAGTCCCGAATGAACCTCAACCCCGGTTCGACCAGGTCGCGCTCGCACGTAGGAGTTGTGCCTCGAACAGATCCACCCGGCTGGCATGTGAAGACCTCGCTGCTTTTCTGGCTGGAAGCTTTCCCTGACGCCTCAAATCCATACGACATGCCTTTACATTTCTGTCATATAATGCTATTGCTACGAGGGCTGGCTGTGTGAGAGTGTGATGGGGAAAAGGTCCAAGGATCACCAGGCGGACGACCGAATTGCGGGTTGAAGCTTGAGGCCCATATTAAAGCCCTCAACCAACCCACCCCACAGAGTGACAAAGTATGAAGACTGCACGAGTAGGGTGCAGGCCCAATCCCTAAGGCGAACATGACGTCCCTGTTGCTCTCGTGAATCTTAAAACTGTGCTAGCAGGAGATTATTGGGGCCGGGGATTTGGTGGATGAACCTCTTGATGGACGGCTCACTAACCAGAACTACCGCTAGCAGAACCCGCAAAGCCGCAAGGAAGCGGCAAAAGCAGAAAGTTGACTCCAGCGAGCCGTAAACCCAAACGCAAACCCTCCCACCAACCCCCCAGACCTCAAACCCTCAATCTGTGCTCGCCTGTGCCGCGTTCCCTGCAGCATACGTGTAGCCTCGCCATGTTGGGAGCGGGTTCGGTTTCTCCATCCCAGCTCCCCTGAAGCCCAAACTAAAGGAAAGAAAAGAGGGACCCCAAAAAAGTGACCCTGAGGGGCTGTGAGAGAGGGAGAGGCTCTGAGCTGCCCTGAAACCCTGAAACTCTTATGAGCTGTACTGTATCATACGATATCGATCCGAGATCTTGGGCTTGCAAGCTCACAGTGGGGTTGACAAGAGGGGTCTGTGCCAGACATCGCCGGGTTGAGGATTGAGGGTGCGGAATTGGTGAGATGAGGGACTGGATTTTGGGAAGCCGTGTGCCTGGAATGCGGGTTGGGACATGGATATGACGGATATGATGTCCCCTTGACCTGCTTCGGTCTCTGGGGCAAGTATGGTAAGTATGCGGAATGCCCCTGACAGCAGTGAAAGAACTCCCGGAGATTCTTGAGAGACTTCAAGGCCTAACAGGCTCTAAGCCAGGCCTATGCTAAGCCCGATGCTAAACCACAACACTCCTTCGACAAGACAAACTGGCCGAGGAGGGCCTGTGACGGAACACGTGGCCGTGCATGTTTCGGCCGTGCGGACGCCATCGCAGTCCTCGGCTTGCTTGCTTTCACCAGGGCTGTGGACAAACTGGGGTTCAGGCTCGCAGTGTTCTGGGATGCTGGGTTTGGGCCAGCGTGCACTTCGCAGACAGTTTTGGCAACGCATTTATGTTGAGCGGTGTTTTGCCGATGTCGGCAAAGGGACGCTATCCACAGTGGCGGCAGTTTTCGTGCTCTGCGATCTGAAGGCTTGTTTGGGGGTGGCTTATGGTATGGTTTCAGCCAGACGCTGAGGCTCTGATACTGTGGTAGCTTCTTGAGGGGAGGCTCTTTATAATTATGCTGCACAGGCATCGGGTTCGTGCATATACAGACGGAGGGTGTAGTAGTGTTCTTAAGGTCGAGAAGTTGTGACGCGGTCAATAGACGGACAAGCCACAAGAGATTAAACTTAGGGCTTGTCTTAGTTGTCCAGTAACCTGGGGGACTTAAAGGTTACCCTTTGGGATTAAAAGGGGATTATGCTACGCCAAAAAGGTTAAAGGTGACCTACTGCACTACTAGGTCCAAGTTACTAGGTTATAGGCCTCGACTCTTGAGGCGCTTTTGCTGGATCCCATGCAAGGGAGGCGCATGTTGCACTCCCAGGGCGTCCGGGAAACCATACAGACCTAGGCTGGACGGGACGGGAAGAAGCCCGTAAAGGGCGAATAGACCCTATAGCCCCTTAAAAAGAGCCTTTGTAGGGTTGATTCTGGGGACGATTAGGCCTAATAGCCCATCTTAACTGGGCCAGCCCCACATCCCTGAAAGATGGGCAATTGTTAACTTCTGGAGCTCCGGCTGGCCAGCTGAAACATACCCTTGTCCAACCCTAAACCCTTACAGCCTCCCTCCTACTTGGCTTGAGGCTTAGAATCTTAAGCTCAGTCCCAGGACAATCCAGAAAGTCACACAGCTGAAAGTGCAGGGATGTTTAGGGTTTAGGGCTTCGGGGTTTAGCGCAGGGATACTTCGAAACTGTTGGTCTGCAGGGGCTCACCATATGGCTCCTTGCTTTAAGGCCAAGTAGGTTTATTTCACATCCAACCCCTGCATTTCAGGCTTGCAGAAACCCGATTCCCTAACTTCCAGGTAGAGTTCAGGCATATTCAGGCCTTGGGGTCTTGCAGTTTTTGGCGAGCTTGTATGACTTGTTTGGGTTTGGAGGAGGCTTTGCTGTCGGATTTGAAGCCAGGGGGCAATGTGGGCGTTAGGGTTGGGGTCTGGGGGCCACCAGACTACCAGACATGAAGCGGGCATGTTCCAAACTAGGGGTACCTCCTACGTACCCCAAAACGCACAGAAGCGTGTCATGGGAACCCCAAAAAGATACCACGATGTTTTGGGCACCTCTAATTTTGAGAGCCGAGGTACAAGGTATTGGGGTGCAGGTAGGAAGCGCTGAGCCTGACAAAGGACATGGGCGCCAAATGGCTCCCACTTGGTTCAACATGTGGGGGCATGCAAGTGTAATCCAAGTGTATCTAAATTCCAGGCCCTTTTGGGTTCGTGTTCCTCAGAGTTCAGGTACCAGAACGGGCCCACAATTGAAATCAAGCCCTATGCGCAAGAATCGATGTGCAATTTAGGCAGACACAGGGACACCCAAGGCAGGTGACCCATGCTGTCGCGATACTCATGGCACATGCCTTGGTAAGGCAAAAAGCGTGTGGCTGAAACAACCACCCTTACTGGACGTCCTGGACTTAAAACCTGACCGCCAGATATTTCGGCATGCTTTCGGCCCGCGCCTACGAGGGTTCCGCTCTTGCAGACGAAAATGGACGGGGCGGTCTCAACCATGTTCCACCCGAAGTTGCAGTGGGCGATGCAGACATCGTCGTGCGCCTGGACGTGGGGTCATGTGGCCTACATACTGCACCCGTTGAAAAACGTCACGGAACGATGCATATGCCTCATGCACGAGATGTTTGGCGAAAACCTTCGTGCAAACATCTGTCCGTTTCCGTCCCAAGCACCTTGTTGAACCCAGTCTCTACCACAAGGAATGCCCAGAGCCGAAGATTTGTTTTTTCAACCCGGACTCTGCTAAGGACCCAAGATGCTAATTCCTAAGCCCTCACCCCCTGGGCGTTGCCTTGCCATCGCAATCGTTGAAGAACTGCGGCAAGTTGAGTCCAACCGACGTGACCTTGCCGTGGGCTGAAGTCTGCACACAGCGACAGAACACGAAGGGCACTGATCCTTACCACCTTTGGGTTTAGGGTTTAGGGGTTAGGGTTTAGGGTTTTTGGAAGGCATCTCGTATCGGCGCAAGGACTCGGACCATGAACCACGGATTTGGCCAAAGCAAGGATAGGCCAAACAACAACATGCCCCCAAAAAGACACCCGCACCTTACTTTGCGTCCCTCACCACCTATGGATTTCATCGGCAGGGGCTCCTGAGCCCTACCATGTTAACTACTATTCTCTGTTTCGCTTCAGGGGCCGAAGTCTCAGCTTCACCTTCCAATGTTCCACGTTCGTTGGCAAAGCAACAATGCTAAGCTCAAGAAAGAACCTAAAGTACGCCGTTCACTCTTCGAGGGTTCGACGCTAGGTCGGCCAGGTACCATACCAAGACTATACTGAACTTGGAATCCTAGCAAAAACTATGGTCTTTGCTGTTTCTCAGGAATTAGAGTACCCAAAAACTCAACATTATTCCCAAGTAGCCCTAAGAAGAGGTGAGAAGCCCTGACCATTTCTTCACGGTTGACTGCCTCCGCTTCTGCACGGCAATGGGTCGGTTAAAAAATTTGAGCCGCGCAAGCGCCGAAGAACTCTATCTTTCAGTCCGCGGAAGCAGCTGCCTTTTTATGCTGACGCTCCTGTTGTTTGTCCCATCTCACGCAATTTTACTCGCCTTTCATCGTCTTCCTGTCACAACTGCTGGTCTGATTCTGCACCAAATGTACCGAGCAATCTTTGGGAGGAGTAAAATTAATGGAGGATTATACCTGCGAATCTGAACGCAGAGCAGATGCGAACTGTTTCTGGGGGACGCCTATTCGGGGCATTGTGGACCCTGCCGTTGATTACACTTCACAAAATTCTGCAAACCCTACAAAACCCTAAAACCTCAAGTTCCTTGGATTCGCCAAAGGTGCCGAGGCAGCGGTGCAAGGATCGAGAGATTGCAGCCGACGTGCCGGTGCGGGGCCCGTCCCTTTCCGAGGCTCAGGGTGCAGGGCTTACCGGCGTAGGGTTTTTAGGGTTTAGGTTTTATAGGGTTATAGGGTTTATGAGGTTTATAGGGTTTATAGGGCTTATGGGGTTATAGGGTTTAGCGTGGAGGGCTTAAAGGCCGAGGGCTTTAGTGGGGGAGCGGGCGGTATCAGTCTGAACCGAACACAACAACAGAGACGCATCATCAGCATCCTCCTCACGCTTTCTGACACACGGAGGTCGTGACAGGGTAGAAGTATATAGAAGGACAACTGCATGGAGCTGTTGATGCTCAGCCTTATGACGAGTTACGGACAGCAACATGAGAAGCTGGGCAATGGCATGCAGTTCCGGACCCCCAAAGCCAACAGCATGGTCTACAACTCATAGCTGGTCTCGGGATCCTTGTTGAGGGGCCTAACACACGCCAGCATCTGCAGATAGGCACATGCATGGCCTCTCTCCGAAATAGCTCTCTAACAATCATGCAAATGCTGCCGGGGCACCGTTCCATGCACATTCCATTGCAGTGCCCATGGCCCTTGTGTTCAGGCAGGTTTTGGGTATGCTGCTCAAGCTGATAGACAGGGTTTCGGATATGTGTGGTCGGTTACTCGACTTGGTCTTACAGCAGCAGCAAAAAGCAGCACCGGATCTGGAGGCTAGCGGTTCATGCGCACGACCACGGCTCATCGTGGCATTCCTGAATCCTGCCCTTCTTGCACAGGTGAAAGAAACACAAGCTGTGTCACCGAAAAACTCGTGCCACACCCCCCCGGCCCCCCCCCCCCCCGCCCAAAAAAAAAAGGAAGACGAGCAATCCTTTTTTGCTGCTTTGCCATCCCCACCCGCAAACCCTTTTACATCTGGAGCTCCTAAACCCTAAAACCATGAAAGCTCCTGGAGTTTAGCCTGGCCAACCTGAAGCAACTGCTGCACACCACTACTGGCCGAGCTTTCTCTCGAGGAGAGTAGATCAGCAAAGAGCTAACCTTTCGGTTCCGTGTTTCGGGTTCAGGGTTCAGGGTTCAGGGTTTAGGGTTCAGGGTTCATGGTTTAGGGCACCGACGCAGTAGCAAAAGCAACTGCCGCCACGTGGCTGGACCTGAACTGCATTCCTGAGATGCTTCGGTCTCTTGGAAGTACAATACCCTAAAGCCCATAAACCCTGGGAGGGTTTAGGGTCTAGGGCTTAGGGTCTAGGGTTTAGGGTTTAGGGGCCCTAACTAATAAATCCTAAGCTTTTAAGGCCTACCTGAACTTCCCGACTACCCACTACTATTCTGTGAGTGCCTACTTGTTTTCAGGGCACTGTAACCTCCCTCCATTGCTGAAAGGGCAGTTGCAGTCTGTATGTCTGTATGATGCTGGGCTCCAATGTGGTGCTACTTGTACTATAATTAGGGCTCTAGGGTTTAGGGGTTGTAGGGTTTGAGGTTGTGCAGTTCAGGGCTCTGAGGGTTAGCCAGACCAACCCAAGGGGGCTCCAAACGCCTGAGCGACAAGGCCTTAAGGCTTCGGCGGCTTGGGGTTAGGGAAGCGCAGAAAAGACCCTCACAGCGTTCAGAGCTGGGGTTTCAGCTCAAGTTAGCATGAAGTCGAAAGCCGACCCCCCTACCTTTAAAAACTCAAACCTCCAAGGCGGGCAAGGGTCAAGGTTTCATTGGCCACACATTGGTACCGCATCGGTGTGCCAATCCTCGGAAAGCACGGAGGGTTTGCGGATGGCCAGGAGCAGATGCCAGGCATCCATATGGCTGAGCCCTATAAGCTCCATCTCGATAAATATAGTTATAATACCAACTTACGGCGTAGCGGTAACCCATAAAAAAGATCATTCGCGGAATGCTTCCGAAACGGCCTCTGGTTCAACTCTCAGCCTTAGACTTTGGGAGACGTTTAACCCCAGCTCTAGCTACCCCTGAAACCGTCCAGTTGAAGACACCCTAAACCCTGAAACCTACACCCTAAACCAAAAACATAGATCCGAGAGGCCAGTCCAGCTGGCAATAGGCCCAGCACTCGGCTCCAACCAACTTGCTCTGGCAGGTGCTACCTGCAGCTCGGGGCACAGGGTTTTCCAAATGGCTTCTAGCCCATCCGACCCCGGTTACCTAACTTTGGGTTTCCAAGGAAGGGATCAACGCATGCCAGTTGCCCAAAAGAAGAAGAAAAGTCTTCACATGATTCTCGGCAGGGGCATCCCCCCACCCCTCACCCCACCCCAAAAAAGATGGCGCAAATGTTAGATAACTGGCCATATAGAGGTCCTTGCAGCGCCAAGAAAAGATGCCAAGGCTGGGCTACTAGGTTGGCGACAATTGCAGGATGGTTCAGGGCCTAAGGTTTAAGGTTTTCAGACAATACGGTTTAACTGGGTGTATCTTGTCCCTTGTTGAGTTCTTAACTTGCGCTAGCAGAAATGCCTAGGCACTAAGTAGTGCATTTCGGCTTTAAGGATCAAGGAATCTGGGGGTCCCATGTGGATTAAGGATTAGGGTTTAGCAGCTCAGCATTACAACGGTTGATGGAGGAAATCTTGCACCGCCTACCTAAGATGCGTAGTAAAATTGAAATGCATACGGCCCGCACCCGCTCTTTAACATTGGCTAGCGGCTCGCGTCTTGAGGAATTCTGAAAACACATGTTTTCACGACAATGTTCAACAAGGGGTGTGGGGCCCGGTCATTCTCATAGGTGCAAGATTCCCACTCTAGCACCCCATCCACCAGGTACATCCTCAAGGGACCACTGAACACTTTTTTTCCAACCCGCCTCAACACTTGGAGGTGGTTCTAAACCAGGTCCCCTCCGTCAAAAGGAACATGGATGCTTCAGTACAAGATTTATACAATTCCCCGTCGAAAGTGCCCTAATATGAAGCAACTCCCAAATTTGAAGGCCTTGGCGTTTGTTAGGAGGGGGTAGGAGCTTAAGTTCTTCGTGAGGGGTTTATGAGCTGGCGCAACCTTGACAAGGACACACCCCGAACCCTCCTACTGAAGCCCTATAGACCCGTAAAGAGACTGGGAATTCAAGGGTTCAGGGATCTCTAAACCCTTAAACCCCTCTGGGCCCTGGGCCAATGCCGGTGGCGAAGGAGGGGTCAGGGCAGGTGGCAATGACAATGTCGGGGGCCGTCTGGTTGAAAGCGCCATCCTCCACAGCGATGAAAACGCAACACGCGACGTCAACACGCACAAATTCGGGAACGGCTGTAGCGACCTTGTCGAGAGTAGTCGCGCGTGGCGTGCAGCTTCAAGTATGTATACTCTCTGCACCGCGTACTCCGGGCCTTGTAACACGCAGCTACGGTTCACAGAGATTGGGCATTTTGTGAGCCGTGCATAGCGCTTGCAGCCTTCTAGACATGTTCGGCGTAACTACGGGGTCAACAGTAAGAAGCTTGGGGCCGCTCTTGGGATGTCAACGTGGACAAGTGTGCGGATGTAAGGGTCTTGTTCACGGATTTACTTTGAATGTCAAGTGTTCTTGAGTTACAAAGTCATGTAAGAGGCAGGCATTAGTACCCACAGGCTGTCCAAGTGAGGAGGGTTTAGGGTTTAGGAGTTTACCCAACCCTGAACCCTGAACCCTGAACCCTGAACCCTGAACCCTGAACCCTAAACCTACCAAGTCTAGGTCTTGAGCACGCGGACTTCCGCGTTCCAAGAACTGAGCGCGGGGCTGGCTGGCAGAGCAATGTGCTAATGTTGCCCGGTGCAATCCTGACAGAACACTCTCGGTTTAGGGTTTAGGGCCAGAACACTCCCTCTTAGTTGTCCAGTAACCTGGGGGAATTAAAGGCTAACCTTCGGGATTAAAAGGGGATTATGCGACCCCAAAAGGTTCAAGGTTACCTACTCTACTACTAGGCCCTCTTGTGTCGAGCTTGTCTCGCACCCTTCCCAAACCCCCAAACGACGTTGACTTTGGAGCTCTTGGTTCTGTGTCTTGGACTTAGGCTGTCTAGGTCCCGTCATGACTAACAAAGCACCTGTATCACCAACTAAGCAGGCACAGGCTTTTAAAAGGACAGCTCAGGGGTTGAAGCTTTAGGGCCAGTTCTTAAATCTTCGTCACCTCTTTCGCGTAACCCCTGAACCTCAAGCGCTTTTAGTAATCCGGGGCTGAGCAAGCTTGCTATACCCTTGAGACCCGACCCTCAACACTTTTTGGCAACCCCAATCCCTCAACCCTACAAGTTCGACTCCTAACCCTAAGGCTCCAAATTGCCCAAAAGAGGAATTATTTACAGACTTTAGACCCCAATGTAGGTATTATTTCTATACCTGGAGCCCTAGGGATAATACCCCCCTAAAACAGTTGTGTACAAGGCCAAGCTACGCGTAGCCCAGGTTTGGCGTCACAGCGCAAGTCTCCCGCGTCACCTGGCCGAACCCACCGAGGTTGCTCGTAGGGTTTGAAGGGTCTTGGGGTCCCTAACCCTAAACCCTAAACCCTAAACCCTAAACCCTAAACCCTAAACCCAGGGCTTAGGGTCTTTTGAGCTTGGGGCCTTCAAAAAGCTTACAGGGCTTTTCTTTGGCTTAAAGGGTTCAGGGCTTTGGGTGGCTTGGGGAGACTTTGGGGTCCCTTCTTTAAGAGCTGCCAGGGGGCCCAAAATTCTTATAATCTGTCCTTTCCTAGTGAACCGAAGCCTTATAGGTCCGCAGAACGCAGGCACAACTCAATAAACCAACCCAGAGACTCGAAAACCCCTTAAATTAAGGAATACACCTTACATTATAATAGGAACCCCAGTATGATTTAAGGTATATTCCTTAATTAAGGGGGCTTTGGAGTCTCTGGGAGTGCCGTCCTGGCCTTGCCAGGGCAGTCTGACGTGGCACCCAGAACGTTCGGGATGCCGATGGTGCAGTTTCGAGGGTCCTCAGCTTTCATGCGGGGCGTTTGAGTTTAGGGAAGCATTCTCGGGGCTAGCGGAAAATTTGTAGGGCGTGTTTGAGGTATCTGTGGCTCCTTGAAACTGAGGGAAGGAGCAAACCGACCTGCACGCACCCCAATCCGACAGAGGAGACGTACCACCATCAATAACTTGGTAGCCCAGCAATCAACGGTACCACTGGGCTACCAAGATGGAGATCGCAAGCCAAGGCACACAGGTCGGCCCAGTGGACTCCACGGCCGGAAAGCTCTGGGCGGTTCCCGGCACGAACTCAGTAAACCCGGCCTGGGCTGCTTGCAGAGGTTTGAGGGTTTGGGGTTTCGACGCGGCGTTTGGCAGTTTAGTTTATGACTTTGGGCTTTGGGCTTTGGGGTCTGATGCTTTAAAGGAAAGTTCATGGCTGTCGGAAGGGTTGAGGGTTGAGGGCAACGGGTCTTTCTCGGGAGGTGGGGTAGGCCCGAAGATCTTGGAAGGCTTGAGGGGGACCGTGGGAGGTGGGCCAATGTGAGGTGGTAGTGGGGAGGGCGGTACATAAGAGTCATAGAGGTGAACGCTAAAGGGTCCGCTGTTCGGAAACAATGTCATCCTTATAAAGCCGTTCTCCATTCCTCTGCCAAGGCAATCGGCCTCTCTGCATTCATCTTCCAAAAAAGCCCCCTAAAACCCTAAACCCTAAACCCAGCTGGAACTCCCGGCCAGGTTTCTCACTGCGTATGCTTTAGACGTCCTTCAAAGCTTAGTTCGTGACTGTAGGAGCGATAAACAGGCTTTGTAAGCCCGAAACTCTTTTACAACAGGCTTGCCACTTCGCCCCTAAACCCTAAACCTAAACCTGCAAACCATGCTACTTCCATGCCAGGTCACACTGCTGGCAGGTGCATCATCACACAGAAGCACGGTTGCGTTGCCAACGATGTCATATCCCATCTCACAGAAAGCCGTGCACACCTCGCAGCAACCACAGAGGAAGGCCGCGAACACTCGAGAACTATAGGCCACTAAGCTGTAGGTTTGAGGGCTGCCGCACCCCCCTAAGTATGTAGTTCCGGAGCTGAATGCTTGAAGCAACAACAGGGGTGCAGAAGAACCATCGCACATCAACAGGAATGGAACCTATGTTTCCTTGGCGAACTCCGCGGCACCTGTCCAAAAGACATGACTTCGCAGGAGTCGCCGACCCAAATCGGAGAGAAAGGCTGCACAACCTCCAAGCTTCCGCAGGTGGTTGGGTTGCACGCCTGGCGGGTGGCGAGGGCTTAGGTTTCCAGGGTTTCGGGTTTCGGGTTTCGATTTCTAGGGTTTCGGGCTTAGGGCTCAAGGGTTTTGTTGCCTTATAGGCCTTAGGGTTTAGGGATTTATTATGGCTCGCTTGAGGCCGATGGGGTCCAGGCACGCTTCGGTTCACGAAGCATGCCATAGCTACACTAGCTACACATCATTCGTGGCTGTCCACAAAAAGTTATCGTCCAGCCATCGCAGACCATCAACATGGCAGAAGCGCCGACGTTGATGGGCTGAAGCTGCCGTCTGGTAGGCAGTAGATAGTCGGGTCACCTCACACAGCGTGACGGCACTGCGTGACAAAGACTGGCGGTGCGGCGGCGGCAGTGCTCAGTTGCACAAAGGTTTGGGGCCTTAGGGTCTGGGGATAAATCGAGAAGTTTACCAGGTTTGGGGGGTATATCAGCTCTCGCAACTGGCGCACGCACGGGCAAGGATCAGGGATTTGAGGGCACAGGATGTAACGAAGCCTCCAAGGCCCTCTGGCAAAATAGGCGACAAAGGACGCTTGGAACCCCATGCTTCTGTAGCCGCAGATTACACAGAGGATTTATCGGAGTTACATCACAAGATCGCACCCTGGGGCCTACAAGGTCATAGCCGCGGCTGCAGGAGACTTGGCAGCTCTGTCCGGTCGTTGTGGAGAAGCCTGACAGCAAGTTGACTCGACAGGCTCGGCCGTTGACAGCTTCATGAGTTTGGGGTGCAGATGGGTTTAGGGCTCAAGGATTAGTCTTTCCTCCTATACTCCTATATAGGAGGTGCTGGACAGAACCGCATGGCAGGGTCAGACTCTGAACCGCAAAGGAATAAGGACATGACACGGGACTTGTTGCCACCTGCCGAGCAACCTCACACAGCACGGCAGGGTTTTTGGATGCAAGCAACGAGCACGTCTGGTCTCAAGTCAAAAAGCCAAGACATGACTACGGTGAGGTGTACGTGGCATCCAGACGAGACCACAACCAGCAAAAACACCATAAATTGGGATGCTCTCCCATTTCTAAAAGTCCTTACTAGTGATTATAATCGAGGGTGCCATAAACCCTATTCAGGACTGTTAGTATAAGGGGGAACATCCCAACCCATAATTCTACACCCGACTAGACACAGCAATGCGGGGTCTACAATACGACAACAACGGCAAAAAGCCTTTCCGGCACTACGCCGAAGAGGATGCCGTAGGCTTCAAGATAGGTCATGCTAGGAAGTTGCGTGCAGGGTAGGCCTCAGTACATCAACTACGCGGGATTAGGGTACAAGTACAAGGTTGACGGGGCGGGCTGGAGCACCAACAATTGCCATCGGCCCCAGCAAACCTACAAGACCTGAAGCTTAAACCCTTGGCCCTGAACCCTACACACTAATACATCGCTTGCCAAGGCACAGTCTGTCGCCACTTCGCCAGTGCCAAACCTCCATCAGTGAGACGCGTCTAAACACGCCTTTTCCTACAGCAGGTGTCTATTAATTTTGGGGGAGGCTTTTGGGGGATTTGGGGTTTGGGGCTTCGGAAATGTGAGGTTGTATGATCGAACCCAGTGGGCTTAGGGTACACTTGCGCTTGTGTTCTTGTCCAGTTGCCGAGAGAGACGACAGGTCAAACTTGGGCATTACGTACATAGGGGAAGACATCAACCCCCAAAAGGGACAGTCACTTACTCGACTACTGGTAAGCTTTCCAATGCGGGGCTCGGAGTTCGGGTGAGAACTTGCAAGCCCCCACCCACCTGAACTTATGGTCCTTGGGTACCCTACTTTGGTCCGGAGGTCGGTTCCCCAACTTCCTCCCATGGAACCCTAGGTTCCTGAGTGTCGGAGTTTTGCTACTCAGAACTCAGAACCAGCAAGAATTGGCCAGCAACATACTGCTCGATTTTTGGGGCGAAGATAGCTGTCCTGCCCACGATCAAAGACCTTGGTCGGTGTACCCTGACACTGAGCCCCGAAGGCTTCCGCTTGCAGCCGGGAGGCTGGAATCCCTCGAAGGAGCAAGGAAGACCCACACCTTGTTGCATCCGATTTTCTAAGGACTGAGTTGAGAGCAGGTGTGCGGCGTCTAGTACCGCGGACCTGAACGACGATCCAAGCCTTCATGATAAGGGCTGTATTGGGGCGGTGGCTGCAACTTACTCTGAAGTACCTGGGAAAGTCTCACTGTCTCTTATAGGTAAGAGCCTCTATCGTTTCAACTGGCCATAACAGATATTCGAACTTGGTTGGGGAACTTGGTGCGCGTGCACCCACTGAGAACTAGCTATGAATTTCCATCAGAACAACTACAAGACAAACACAAGTACAAATGCAAATGCATGCGAAGCCAATGCCGTACTATACAATTACAATGTGCAATGCATACCACAATACCCAAAGCACAATACAAAGCAAAGGCAGGCCAACTTAGAAACTACAAACTTGAAACCCCGCAGATTCCTGAAACCCACAATCTAACAGGCCTTGAGTGCCCTGAACCCTTGAGTTTCGGGTCTCAGTGGGCAGGACTAGGGCTGCAAAGGGGGGTGGCACTCTGCGCTGAGGGCATGTGCTGTTGGATTAAGGTTTATAGGGCTTAGGGTTTGCGCGTGTGGAAGTGTAGTGCAGGCTTCAGGATCTTGCAGCTGCCAGAAAAAACACGAAGTGGAATCAAGAGGGCGATGGAAGGGGAAGAGGAAGCCCCAAGAAACAGCTCTGGAAACCCGATCCCAAGTGGCCTCAAACCCAGGTGGTGCCTGACATTGCGAAACGAGCCATGCAAGCTTGAAGCCTCATGCTAAGCATGCGTTGAAGGGTTCAGTTCTGCCAAGCCCGAAGACAGAAAAAGCCTTGGATGCCTGTCTCAAACTGAGAGCCTAACCCGATACCCGCACAACTCTCCTCGTCCCTATGTTATGTCTCATGCACCTTCATTTCAGGTGGGGAGAATCCTGCATACATTTATGCATCTATGTACTTGGGATGTTCCCCCTTATATACTAGCAGTCCTTCGTACGGATTGTAGTACCCCCCCCCCCTATATTACAATCCCTATCGATCCCTTTTCAGGACTGTCAGTCTAAGGGGGAACATCCCCAACAAGACCTATAACCAAACCTCCAGCTGCTCTTCGCCCAGTAACCATATTATCATAAGGGCACCCTTTTTTGGGTTGGTTACTTTATAAGGGAACCTAAACCCTAAACCCTAACCCTAAACCCTAAACCCCCAAAAAGGGAAACGGGTCCACCACTGGGCTGCCAAATGCGGCTTCGGAGCATTGCGGGAGCTGGCCGCGGAGCTGTCCATTCTCACAGACGAGGCCGGTGGGCATGCCTGTGGGGTTTAGGGTTTAGGGTTTGGGGTTTGGGGTTTAGGGTTTGGGGTTTAGGGTTTAGGGTTTGGGGTTTAGGGTTTGGGGTTTAGGGTTTGGGGTTTGGGCCTGTAGGGTTAGGATTCTCCCCCTTATACGAACAGTTACGAACAGTCCTCAGTAGGAGAGGGGTTTCAGGCCCAATTTGGGGGGGAGGTTTGGTGTTTAGGGTTTAGGGGTTTAAGGTTTAGGGGTTTAGGGGTTTAGGCGTTTAGGGGTTTAGGGTTGTTTCCCCTTATACTAACAGTCCTTAGTAGGGATGAGAGGGGGGGGGGGTACTAGAATCCCAATTAAGGACTGTGAGTGTGAGTATAAGGGGATCCCAACTGTTGGGCTTTTAAAGCCCAACTTGGGAGGAGAATAATTCCAAGCATCTGCTCTACAGATCCCTGGGATGACCCGAAACCTCATAAGGCGAATCCCAAGCTCCCAAATTTGAAGACCACTTTGCAACCAGAACTTAAGAAAACAGACCCTGACCACCCACCCCGGACAAAAAAACGAAAACCATCATCCCGAAACCCTCGTTCCAGCTAAGGTTGTTGTGTTTTCTAGGGTTAGGTGAAATGTGTGTGTGTGTGTGTGTGTGTCTGTGTCTGTGTCTGTGTCTGTGTCTGTGTCTGTGTCTGTGTCTGTGTCTGTGTCTGTGTCTGTGTCTGTGTCTGTGTCTGTGTCTGTGTCTGTGTGTCTGTGTGTGTGTCTGTGGTCTGTGTGTGTGTGTCTGTGTGTCTGTTGTGTCTGTGTGTCTGTGGGTGTGTGCTGTGTGTGTGTGTGTGTGTGTGTGTGTGTGTGTGGTGTGTTGTGGTGTGTGTGTGGTGTGTGTGTGTGTGTGTGTGTGGTGTGTTTGTGTGTGTGTTGTGTGTAGTGTTGTTGTGTTGTGTGTGTGTGTGTGTGTGTGTGTTGTGTGTGTGTGTGTGTGTTGTGTGTGTGTGTGTGTTGTGTGTGTGTGTGTGTGTGTGTGTGTGTGTGTGTGTTGTGTGTTTGTGTGTGTGTGTGTGTGTGTGTTGTGTGTGTGTGTGTGTGTGTGTGTGTGTGTGTGTGTTGTGTGTGTGTGTGTGTGTGTGTGTTGTGTGTTTGTGTGTGTTGTGTGTGTGTGTGTGTTGTTTGTGTGTGTTTGTGTGTGTGTTGTGTGTGTGTGTGTTGTGTGTGTTGTGTGTGTGTGTGTTGTGTGTGTTGTGTGTGTGTGTGTGTGTGTGTTTGTGTGTGTGTTTGTGTGTGTGTTTGTGTGTGTGTTTGTGTGTGTGTTTGTGTGTGTGTGTGTTGTGTGTGTGTTTGTGTGTGTGTTTGTGTGTGTGTTTGTGTGTGTGTTTGTGTGTGTGTTTGTGTGTGTGTTTGTGTGTGTGTTTGTGTGTGTGTTTGTGTGTGTGTTTGGGTGTGTGTTTGTGTGTGTGTTTGTGTGTGTGTTTGTGTGTGTGTTTGTGTGTGTGTTTGTGTGTGTGTTTGTGTGTGTGTTTGTGTGTGTGTTTGTGTGTGTGTTTGTGTGTGTGTTTGTGTGTGTGTTTGTGTGTGTGTTTGTGTGTGTGTTTGTGTGTGTTTGTGTGTGTGTGTTTGTGTGTGTGTTTGTGTGTGTTTGTGTGTGTTTGTGTGTGTTTGTGTGTGTTTGTGTGTGTTTGTGTGTGTTTGTGTGTGTTTGTGTGTGTGTGTGTGTTCAAGGGCAAGTTGCATTTGAGGGTTCTTGGCTTGCTCTACAGCAGTTACCTCATCCCATCTGTCAGGCCTGCGAAGCTACATTCAATCGGCCAACAACAAAACTCTCATTTCAATTAAGCTCGGGTCCGTCTCGAGCAAAAAGTCGCACATCTCTTGTTATTTAGGACTTTAAGCGCTCACACTCGGACCATGCCGGCTATGGACAAGTTTGGGCTTGGAGTGCCGATGTGCCTGAGTAGCCTTGCTGACACTGCGCCACGCAGTTGTCGCCATGCTCTGTGCCGGCACACCTGGTTGCTGACACTCTCACGCCGGCTCCCTTGCCCTACTTCCGTATATCATGAACATGAAGCCAATGGCGAGCGAGTTCTGCAAGGCAACATAGCAAAAGCCTCATGCCCTTCTGACCCCACCTTCATTCCCCCACCAGAGCGTCTAGGGAACGGCACGAAGGCAGGTTGCTGGACAAGCTGAGTTTTCGGACAGGTGCTCAAGCCCTTCGCGGCTGGCTCAACGGCCTGAATGTTAAATAGCCTTGAGACTTATGTATGTTCGGGGTTCATAGCTTCAGCGCCCGCAGCGTGTGCCATGTGAAGGGCGTGCGATCTGGGCAGTACGCTCTGCAGCTGTCCTAGTGACGTTATCCAAAGGTTCGGAGCCTGCCTGACGCGAACTTGTCAAACTAATTCGTGGCTATCGATCCTTTGGAGGCACCCGCAGTGCAGGCGCGGCACGTAGTGTTGAAGGACGGGTCTTCTTTCCAGAAAGTCGGGATCAAGCACTCCTGGCACAGGCCAACCCCATGTCCCTAAACCCTAAACCCCTGTTCTTAAACCCTAAACCCTAAACGCTGCATCGGGGAGATTTTCCCAAAGTCCTCGAAGTACCTGGTGAACAACTCACGGGGCCCACAATAGGCATTCCCCATATACCCGACTCCCACGATATCCCCCTAGGCTGCCGTGACAACATTTGAACTGCCGTATAGGGACTCGCGGTGAGGAACTCGACTTTTGACATCGCATTTGTCCCAGCACTGTAAAGAAAAGTGGACCCTGAAGACCGAAACCGCCCCTACTCCGACTTCCCCCTGTTGCATGTTGCATTCAACCGCACAAACAACTTATAGAATCCATAGCATCCAGCCACACCTCCCATCAAGCCGGTGGACCAAAAAGCCCAACGCCTCCTATGAAGAAGAGGGCGGTTGGGGCTGGCCTGCCTTGAGAATGCAGTAGGGAGCTGTCCCAACGAACTGCCCGGACAGGTCACACTGAAAGGTGTCGGCAACTCCAGAATAGCCTGGAATGGGATCACTTTAGACGCGCAAGGAGCCGATGACTATGCTGAGCCTGAGCCCTAACCGCCGTCGTCCGGCCCGCACACCACAAGAAACGTGTGTGGAATCAAATCTTGAGGCTTTTGCCCCAAGACTCCTGAACCCTCGGAAAAGCCCTGTTCCCCACAAGTCGAGGGGCCTGAAAGGCAGCCAATGCTGCAGGAATCTCCGGCAAACTTATTCAGGCAGCCGGACACATCCAGGCCTGGCAGGGAACCCTTCAACCTCTCAGCCCGGCTTCTCATGCCTACCCTAACAATTGGTAGCCCAGTAACCATATTATAATAAGGGCACCTTCTTTTTTTGGGTTGGTTATTTTATCAGGGAACCCAGAAACCAAAAAAAAGGCAAAGGGTACCACTGGGCTACCAAGCTAAGGTCCTGGAGTCCCTCCTTGCTTCCTGGCCCTTAGAAAATGGAGAAGCAGGGGTAGGCTGCAGAAGTCTAAACTAAGCTCCGGGGGGAGGGGGGGGGTGTAGGGCTTGTAGGGCATCACGGTGGACAGAAAGGACCTTGCGAAGAAGTAGTGACCAGCTTGATCCCAAGCCGGAGAGCGCCTGACACCTTCTTTTTGGTTCCTCACATAATCCGCAAGATCGGGGGCGCGGGATGGCGCGGGGATTCCATACATGATAGGGTTCTTCAGGGAGGGGGGTTCAAGGGGGGCATGTAACCCAAGGCTCCTTAAGACTCCCCACTACTCCCTAAGGCTCCCGGAGCTTCCCTAAGGCTCCCTAGATACCTACCACCCTGTAAATAAAGCCGTTGTCAGCCTGCAGCGTTGGGCAGCGTGGCCGTGTCGCAGGGCAGCCTGCAGAGGAGGGTTTAAGGGCATGCATCAAATCTGGACAAAAACTCTAAGCATGAAGCTCAGGCATGACAGGTTCTCTGGCCATCCTTTTAATGCGAGAGAGATTTTGCTTCCATGACCTTGAGCCACCCAAAACACGAAATCAGCGCAAAAGAACAAGGGGCCCATCTAAGTGTGGTACCCTAGACTTTGTGGCAAGGGTTTAGAGTTTAGGGTTTACAGGTTTGTGTTTTAGGGTTCAGGGTGTAGGGTTTAGGGCAGTCAAAACACCCCTAACCAATCTAGGGGCCAATTACAATGGGCCTTTTGTGGAGTAGTTCTTGCTGAGCTCAGGGCTACGTAAGGCTTCATCGCCAGTGAAGTCATCTCCAAACGTCCTAGAGCTCCCCTCTTTCCTGCAGGCCCAGATCCCAGACTGCGCCAACATTCGCACAACTCTAATATTTTTTTTGGCGCGCCTGGCCCTAAGCCCTCAACTCTGAACACTAAAACCCTGGCTCTCTTCTAAGGCTAAATCCACCCGGGCCTGTTGCACGTGGGCGGCGCCCCGACCAGGACCTGGTCGCCTGGCACTGACGGGCACTGAATTTTTGAGGGAGTCCTCCAGATTCTGTTCCTGTGTGCACATGATGTGATGCATTTGTTTGTGTGCGATGGTTGTATGCCATCTCTTCGGTCTTCGGGAGGCACGGGGGGGGGGGGGGGGAATGCCTGGCTTAATGGGTGGTCGTTCCTCTTGAAAAAATTGGGAGATAAAAAGCGGCATTGACTCGACAACCTCTCCACACCAGTAGGCGTGGTTCTTGGGGGCTGCTGAGAGGTATAAAGAAGAGGCGGCGCCCCTTTCTAACACGTGCCGCGGCGTGCTCCGGCACTCGTAAGACGCATCCGCAGGGACGTAGCCTCAAGCTGCATCGTGGTTTGTGCTTGCTTAGGGGCCCTTCCCCAAACCCTGAACCCAAACTCCAGGCCACAATAGGCCACAAACCTTGGAACACCCCCCCACAAAACACAAAGAGCCATTCATGTTCACCAGCTTCACGCGGTTGCACTCATGGGCCCACTCAACACTGAACACAGAAAGCCCTACATCCTTGAAGGATTGGGGGGGGGGGGGGGAGGGGCCTTTGGTCCCATGGGGTTCCAAGCAACGTTCTTAGCTCAGAGGGCTCCTTACAACCCACCACCCAACAAAAAACCTGGACTCCTTCCCAAGCACTCTTTAAGATTCCCTAAAATCCTAAAACCCCCAATTAAGGCACACGTCGGCCATTATATACTTTGGGGCTGTTAAGGAAAGCACCATCCCAAAAAGCCCTACGATACCAGGGGTGAAGAAGCACGTCTGAGGTGGCGGCCGGCGAGGCAGGAGACGACGCAAAAGGCTCCGAGCAAGGGTGCGGGAGACTGAGTCGGGTCAGCAGGCTGGAGGGGTTCTAGGGAATTCCGGCTTGAGGTGGGTTCAGGGTTTAGGGTTTTCAAGGTTTAGGGTTCAGGGTTGCTTTTGAGGGGTGGGGTTCAGAGTTTCGGGCTTGGGGGTTTTGGTTGATACGCGAGGCTTTATGGGGTTTACGGTTTAGGGCAGAGTTCAGGGTTTAGTAGGTGAGGAGTTTCCACATTCGATCTCGCGGTGGGGTTTCACCCGTTCTTGTTCAGTGTTTGGCGGGGACGGGGCGTGGGTTCACGCCAAGCTTGTTGGTTTGCTGTGATCTCACGCAAGTCCCACCCCCTCCACTCCTATACTCCCCTTAGAACTGTAATCAAATAAGATCTTAGTATCCTCTTGGGTTTTATATAAACATAAAACTAAAAATATTTCCCAAGGGGGATATAGACTCGGCACCCCTCCGCCGAAGACAAACCTAGTTCCCTTGGAGGTTCGTCAAGCTCCTAAACCCCAAACCCTAAACCCAAAATAGATACAAAGCATGACATCATCAGAGGCCCTTCGCTGGGGTAGGTTTGGAGGCGCTCTAAATTTGAATTATGGTTCTTTGTTTTACAAGGACTGTATAGGGATCAAAGGCTATGGAGCTTGTAAAAAAGTGTGTTCACCTACCCCTGTTCAGGCAGGTAGAGGGGTCCCTTTCTAGGCCCCCGGGCCGTGCAGCCGGTGATGTCGTAGAGCCCACTGCTTGGCAGACCCCGAGTATTGCATCGGAGCCTTGCAAGGGTTTCTGAACCCTAAACCCTAAATCCCTAAACCCTATAAACCCTATAAACCCTAGCCCTAAACCGCTTGGGTTTGAGATGGTTTGAGGCTTGGGGAGTTTGCAGGGTTTTGGGAAGGCCGAACCCCCTTTGCTGTTCGATCCCAGGCCCTATATTGCGTGTGACTTTTTGTGCTTGCTTTCTTCCAAACGAGACTAGGGGGATAGGGCATAGTACTTTGCTCCCGTTGCCCGTATGGGTAGACGTCGCAAGAGGATTTGTTAGTGCTCTGGGCTCTGCGTGCGACTCCGATGTTCAATCTTGAGGGGCGATTTCTGTTGAGCGTGGGCCAAGTGTCAAAGCCAGTAATTAAGTCGATGGCTCTGTCAAGCATGTTGAACACTGTTCGGTGAGGCCTGTGGTCTCTCTTCCTGGAAACAGACTGCCAGTCACCGAAGTATGAAGTATTTGTTTTTTCCCAGCCCGTATGCGAGCGCACATAGAGATAGGCCAAGACACTGTTCGCAGGCAGGCGGTGTACCATCAAACCTGCAACTCTGCAAAGGCCATCGAAGGTTGCTTTGGTTCATAAGTTGTTAGCAGTGAGCAGTCCTTCTGCGTGTTTACACACGCTTGCACCCGTTCACGCTTGAGGGTCCCAAGTGATAAGCCACAAGTCGAGAGGATACTCGTACGGTACCTTTCAAGCCTCCTGCGCAAGCCCCAGCTTCAACCCCGCGACTCATCCCCGAGCCCGGCCCTTCCGAAGACAACCCTCCCGCCGGCCTTCCCGTGAAAGGGTTGCACATGTAGATCTCCGACGCTCCGCTATATCCGCTGGCACAGCTCACGGTGCACATCTCCCCACTCACGACCTGGACATTCAATGGTCTTAGGAGGTAATTTGGGGAATCAGGTCCCCTCCAGAGTGCCATGGGAAGGAATCGGCTGGGGGACATGCTGGGGCAGGTTCATCTAGCCTTCACTCATCTCGCATAAACCTAAGGCTCTGGGAGGCTGAAGCATTTTAGGGTATACCCTCAACCCCAAAACCCTAAACCCCAAAAAGAAGTTTCGGCCTGGATTCGGTACATTCGTTCTAGAGGGTTTTGGGTTGCCGGGCTTGAGGGTAGAAAGAGCTGCGCATCCCAGATCGTGGGCCTCCATCCTTATAAGTGATGATGGTATTTCCCAAAATGGGGGGTGCCCCTTTTACAATCCCCCAAAAAAAGGGAACCCCCGGTACCCCGGTTTTCGGAAGCCACCAGGACAGCTCCCCAAGGCAAAAAGGGCCTGTCCGGAGCAGCCAGAAGTGTCCAGGCCCACGCCCAGGGGAAGCCCGTCCGTGCAGATCACAAGCTCCTCGGTGCTTGCGACATGGTGAGGCAAGGGTTCCGTGTGCATTCTTGTACACCCGAGGTAGCTTACCATGTAGGCCAGCTTACTACGTGTCTCGTTGTTTGCTTAAGAACCCACCAAAAAATAAAAATAAAAACCCCTATACTGCCCTCATAGGGAGGTACATGTTTCACTTGTTTTTTTTTTTTTTTTTGGGGGGGGGGTTCTTAAGCAATGAGTAGGTCTCTACTGTGTGGGACCATGTGTTCTACTGCGGCAGCAGCCTGAGCGACTCAAGCGGTTTCAGGATGCACAGTGGGACCAAGCGATCAGATGGTACATCAATATATTTGGGGTGGGGGCTTGAGATCTTTGCTACCTACTTGTTGCAGCCACTTCTCTGTTCTCGTCGTTGTGACCGTCGTGGTGGAGGTGGTGGTGACCTCCGCATATCGACATCACAGCTCATGGAGCACCAACCCACTGCGTCTAGAGAATGGGTGGCCACTTCCCCTGCCGATTTAGGGTGGCAGAAGTTCCTAGGGCAACAGTAGCGCAGTGATTAGCCGTGATTACAGGTTGCCTACGCAACTGTCAATGCCGATGCTGGCTGTGCCCCGCACGCAGAATGGCGCAACGCCGGTGTAAATCTCCTGGAGAATGGCGTTCCCGTTTCATTTGCTACACATTTATGGGGCAGAAAAAGGGTGTCAGTACTTCAACTGAGATCATAACCAGCCTAGACTTTCCGTACCTGTACCCTGAGTGTGAACTACCCATGACCCACCCAGGTACGAAACCGTGCAAACCATGTCGCGTGAACCAGTGAACCAATCCATGTCTCGGGCCACTCTCAGACTTCGTCTCACTACCCACACCATGACCTCATGGTTTGCTCTCTTCCTTTTCTCTTGTTGTTTCTACTGAAAGCATGAAACGAGCATGACAAGATTCAGGATCTGTTTCGCGGACATGCCTTGATGATCCACAGTCTCATCTGGGCTCAAACGCCAATTCAAGTTGTAAACCCAGCTCCTGGACGGTGCAGAGGTACCTTGGGTTTGCTGTTGTGTTTTTTGCCGTCTTGTTTTGGCTTTTTTTGGGGGGAAGCTATGGCTGTCAAGAAGCCTTAGAAGGTCCGGTTTAGGGGCCTCGCCTAGCCGTAGCTGTAAGAAGACCTTCCCTGGCCATGATGCAAGCACCTTCATGTTGTGGGTCTGAATGGTGCTAGTCAAAGTTGGTAAAGCTCGGGATTCCACACTCTAGTCAGCTGGCACCCCATACCCACCAAAGCGCACTGACCCGGGGAAGGAGTCGTCTTAGGCTCATGAAGACCAGGATGATATGAGAACATATCTAAGATTCATCAAGCAAAAAAGTTTGCAGCGAGTAGCTGTTCCGGCTGGCCGAACCATCCATCAGCACAAGTCACGAAGCAACTGCGCGAACAGTCGCAGGTGTGGTCATGGTGGAATCCCTAACCCTGCGGCGCAGTACTAGTATCTACGAGGACTGTCGAGGACAAAGCTTGAAGATGCTTGAAGCAAATCCTGGTCTGGAAATCTGCTTCATCTGCTGACCTTCCCGGCTATGCGAGAACAGCGACGACGGTTTAGGGTTTAGGGTTTAGGGTTTTGGGGCCAGCCCGCCACCTGGAGATTAGCCGTCCGGGTTTGCCCGTTGAAGGGATTCTATAGTACGCCACATCCTCTGACCTCAAAGACCTGCCTGATCACTCAAAGTGGCATGGGCGGGAAGCATCAGAAGAATTTCGCTCCGTGAGCTATGCTTGGAAGCCAGACCTTGCTGCGACCTGTGACAAGCCCTTTCCAGACTACTGTATGTACAGAGACAAAAAAAATAACGTAATACATATATACGTAATACATATATATATATAGAAATATACACATAGTCTTATACTAGAACTCTTGATTTTTATATCATTGTACATGTATGTATATGTATGTGTATATATGTATATATATATATATAATACATATATGCATATACATATATATGTATATATATATATGTGTTGGCAGAAAGCAGCCCCCAGCCTGGAGCCGGGAAACTGGTCGATGCACTCCGACACATTCTGGGCAGCAGGGCTACTACATGGGTAGTTCTGCTAGGGTTTAGGGTTTAGGCTTTAGGGTTTGGGGTGTGGGGTTTAGGGTTTTGAGGCCACTCGATGCGACTCTCTAAACCCTCAAAGCCCTAAGTCCTCCCAACAAAGACAAACGCAGCCCTCAACTGAGCAACCTTTACAAGCCTGAGCCCACCCCAATACACCCCCCAAGATCTTAGCCCCGAGATCCAACCTTGAATGCCGAAGCCTAGTTCCCAATCCACATAGAGCTTCCACTCTCACGACTAGGCGAGGCATTGATGATTTGGGGGCTTTCCACAAGTGCGTGTTGGGCACTTTTGGCCTGATTTGGAAGATTGTACGATTACGATCCAACACTCTGCCGGACTGACACAAGATCCTAACATCGACCGCCAAGCACACAGGATATCGAACTGTAAGAAGCAGCCCTTTCCAAATAGTTCTGGTTGTGCCCATTTGGGCTCGAATGAATTGCCAAGTGCTGGTACTCTCCCGTTTGTTACGTCATGATTAGGGCATGTTAGAGGCGCACCGAACCCCACACACCAATCCCTAAACTTGAAGGCCCCAGGAAGGTCATCATATGATAGTCAAAAAGTCTGTACCTGTGGGGATGTAAACCCTCTACCTCAGCCTTGCTCAAGCCGTGTCTCAAAGAAGTCTTTGTTGAGCGAGGGTGGAGGGCAGGTGCCAGGGAGGATGGTGCTGGTCAGCGTCATCCTTGGTTTACGGATATAACCTCCGCTGCGAAGGAACCCTAAGATGGCACGAATCCATGCTAAGCTCCAAGTAAGCCAAGTCGTCGCTTGGCTTGGAGTTCTACAGCTTAAGCCTTAGCCCCTCCCCCCCTCTCCAAAAAAGAAGCCAACAACTGCATGTTGGAGATATAAAGATGAGCTATCACGACAAGTTGGGCCACAGGCTGGTTTCTAATTCTGAGGCTTAGGATTTGCAGGTTTGTAGGGTTTATTCTTATTCTTCTTCTTATTTTTATTATGACTTGTGCGGTTTTAGGTGTGGCTGTGTGCATGTGCCTGGCTCTGTGCCCTCTGAACCTTTTCACAATGGCTCCAGCACTCCGCCTACTCTTACGGTTGGTTCGTAGGGAATGGGGAACGAGGTATATACATATATACATAGGGTGCCCTAATTCCCTCCTTTCCCTGCTAACCAACAGTAAGTCTAAAGTGCTGCCCGGGAGCGTTGACGAGGTCGTCAAGGTTTTGCTGGTGCTGGTCTTCGTCGCTGTACCTGGGCATGGATCTCTATGGCTGTCTTGGGGTTTAGGGTTTAGGGTTTAGGGTTTAGGGTCTAGGGTTTAGGGTTTAGGGTTTAGGGTTTAGGGTTTAGGGTTTAGGGTTTAGGGTTTAGGGTTTAGGGTTTAGGGTTTAGGGTTTAGGGTTTAGGGTGACTGGGGTTCGGCGCTGCACCTGGAGGTGTTTTAAGGCTCAGAGGTGCCAGCTCCTCAGAACGCAAACTCAACTCAGGCCATGTAGAAAATCCCTAAACCCTAAACCCTAAACCCTTTTTTTGCGTCCTAAACCCTAAACCTCTGGGGAGCAACTCAGGCAATCCGAGCCGCTGGTGGAGGACATCGTCATCGTCGAGCTGGTCTGGGTTGCCGAGGTGCTTGTGCCTCGAATGTTCAAGGAAAACCAGTAAACCCTGACCCCTAAAAACCTTAAAAACCCTAAAAACCCTAAACGCCCTAAAACCCTGAAAGCCCTAAAAAAAACCCTAAAGCCCGAACCCATTGGGCGGTGCAAGGATGAAAAGGAGTTCAGGGATCGTCAGAGGGCCTCGAGAATGAAGGCCTTAAGCCTTAAGCCGCGCTTCGGGCGTGAGATCTTGTAGTTAAAGCCTGATTTAGGGCTTAGGGTTTAGGGTCTTTGCACGTAGCTGGTGATTCTTGGCTGATTTCGCCAAGCAGAAAAGCGTGCTTCGGGCTTCGACTCTCACACTCGCGCGACAGGCAAGGATTCAGTGGCAGTTTCTTTTGCCACCCGACTGGCAATAGCACTGCTTTGGGCTTAGGGCTGGGGGCATTAGGGACGTGAGGAAAGACGGCACATGATGGACAACTCCTGCAATCTGGAGCACTGCTAAACCCACTCGTAGCGCTGCAGCCGCAACACAACAGCTAAGTACCTCCTACAAGGCCAAAAGAACATTCAGATTCCTCAGCCCTCAACCTCAATGTCGGCTTGCGAAAAGTGTTCGGGTGAAGGGGCTTTCCGACGCGCACACACACAACACACCGTGGCAGAAGCAGGTGAGGAGGCGGTTCGAAGTCGTGGCTTCAAAGCTTTTTTGGGTTTTCGGGGCTTGAGAGTTGAATTTGGCGAGTCGCACAATGTGTGTGTGTGTGTGTCCACATGCGATTTGGTTTCTGGCTGGAACGGTAGGCGTACAGACTTGGAGCCTGGCTGAGTGCGTGTACTGCCGGTAAAAGCGGCATCGCCACTGCGATCAGTGCTACGACTGTGCATTCTGCTTCGCAGCGGGGAGCTCTCGACAAGAACTCGTTGCGACTTCGGTGGTTTGCAGTAGGGCAGTGTTGGCATGCGAAAAACACGTACAACCTTAACAATCTCTCTCTCTCTCTCTGCAACTTTAACAATACATACATACATTATACAGGTCGGTGGCCTCTTTGTTCCCCTTACAACCTGTATATATATATATATACATATAGATAAATAGATAGATAGCCCCTGGATGCCCTAATAAGAACCTCGAATACAATGCAGCTCTAAAACAGAAACCCTACTTAAAGAGACTACCAACCCATATAATACATACAGGTATGTATGTCATGTATAGACCTAAATAAAAATGGTGTATATATGTATGTATGAATGTATATATGTGTAGGTATAGCCATGCTAGGTGGCAACTGCCTCATCTAGGGGTGTCTCTTGCATTCTCCTCACTAGGTCTTCACCATCGCTCCGTGGTGCCGAACCCCCCAACAGGAACCCTAAACCCTAAACCCTAAACCCTAAACCCTAAACCCTAAACCCTAAACCCTAAACCCTAAACCCTAAACCCTAAACCCTAAACCCTAACCCTAAACCCTAAACCCTCTTGGATCTTGCAAGCCACTGGAGGTGCTGGAAGACGATGATGAAGAGGTCGATGTGCTGGTACCTGAGTTAAGCAGCGCATAAACTCATTCATGGTCAATCTGTCTGCCTGGGGGAGACTGGTTCTATCGGTTCTATAGAACCCTTGGCAGAACTGATGGCTCTTCCCTCCCTCTCTCTCTCGCTCTCTCGCTCTCTCAAGAAATCCAGCGAACTAACGGTCCTGAAGGAGAATCTCGGACTCCACGCATTTCCACGCATGTAAACGACAGTCTGTTTACGGAACAAAGACCGTGCCTGTCTCTCTCTGCCATTCTTTGTCTTGTTAGGGCTCTCGCTCACTCTCTCTCTCTCTCTCTGCTTTGCTTTGCTTTGCTTTGCTCTGCTCTGCTCTGCTCTGCTCTGCTCTGCTCTGCTTTGCTTTGCTCTCTCTCTCTCTCTCTCCTATTTTTGCTAAGCCCTGTAAGGCCCCCTAATCCCTAAACGCACTCATTATTTTGGCAAGAACTACACCACAAAACGCGGGCTGCTATACCGACAAGTATGTTGGGAGGACGCTGAAGTGCGAAATAAAAATAAATAAATAAATAAATAAATAAATATATATATATATGTCATAAATGTATAAGTATATAGAGAGTAGGTTGTCCCTGAAAGTTAGGTGTTCATGCCCTGCATGGTTTAGGACTGCGCTTTCTATTGGGGTTTAAAGAGGCCACAAGTAAAAACCAGGGCTCCAGGGCCTAAAGGGTCCAGTCCAAGGGGCTCGAAGTTGAGGACGATGAGGTGCTTGAGCTAGAGCTGCTACTGGAGGAAGTGCTCGACGTCGTCGAGGACGATGTTGTCGACGACGACGTGGTCGAGCTGCGAAGGCTTCAAGCTCCCGATTCTTTCCGGCTTATTCCTGAACCTTATTCCTGAACCCTGAAGCCCCTTTCCAGGCTCCCACTCCCCCACACAACCTTGTTATGAAGCCCTAGAGGCCCTAGAGTCTAGACCCTGATCTCCTGACCAGCTTGCACAGGGCTTGGGGGCGAGCCCATGCGGGCCCGCACGCTGCCAACAGGCTTTGGCCCCAGCACGACTACGAATACGGGACCAGAGCCACCGTGACAGTTGAGCCAAGAGATCCAAGAGAGTAGCAAGTGCCACTTTGACGTGGTTGGCGAGCTCTTCTGTAGAGGGGTTCAGACACCGGGACTGCTACGATGGTAGATCAGGTGAGAAGGGAGTACGCTGCTTGTTTCTTTCGTTTTTCGTTCTTTCTTTCTGGCCTTCCAGGAGCTTCAGGGACGAACCCCCGGCGCACTTGGCACACCCCAGTTTGGGGAGGTCCTTTGGGAGATGCAACAGACCTGACATATCCACCTCTTGAACCCCCCGCCAGATCTCCCCTCGATGCCATCTGCTCAGGCTGGAACAACTGATCTCCCAGGAAGGACTTCCAGCAATGCTCATCGAAGTGGCTATCTGAAAAATCCGGATCAGCACCGGACTTCCTCTTTCCCGGGTCGCCTCAACGTCAACATTTCTCTGCCTCTCGCTCGCTCTATCTTTCGAGGGGCCTGGGGCCGGAGCCTCGGCGCAATGGATGCGCGGTACAGGAGAGACCCGAGTATGCCCCCAAGGCCCACTACCACGTACAATGCCGCATGCCCCCCCCCCCCCAAACGTTTTCGGCTCTCTTTTTTTCTTTCTTGGGGGCAACTTGGGGGCATGCGGGCCAGGCCCTGGTGCAGAAAATTCTCTTTCCCTCTCCCTGGGAGTCGATGCTTCCGGCTTTAGGGTTCCTCGAGCATGGACCCAAAGATGGACCCTCAGCCCTACAGGCTCTAATGGCCTAAGCTACGCTGCAACCTGGTGAGTGATGTCGTGCCTTGTGGTGCTTGTCAGGGTTTCGGTCGTAGTCGTGGATGACGTGGAACTGGCAAGGCAGTGTCTTCAACTCGCGAAGTCACAAAGCTCACAGCCCCAGGGCTGTCAGTGAGTAGACACGGGGTGCAGATGTGCTTTTGATGGCGGAGCCCCTGCCCTGAAACGATAGGGAGACTGGTTTCAGCTAGCAGGACAGGATGCAGGATACTTCTAAACAAACAAGGGCTCATGCATTTCAGACCATCCAGAGCTACTGGGCCTATACTGGAGTTAACCCATCTCAGCTAAAGCAGTGGTTCACTTATCAACGAGGAGACTCTAGCAGCCCAATTCCATACGACCAACACGCAGCACAGAAGGTCATGGATGCCAGAGCCACCGTTTATGACAGCGCACAGTGCTTGCTCAGGCAGGCTCCGGCCCAACCTAACTCATTTCAAGCATTTATTCTGCGACAAACGTGGATTCCCACCAGTGCGAACTGTGCGGCAAACACCCGACAACCTGTTGAAATCCTTGTGAGCCTCAAACCGAATAGCTCTTGGACACTGGCCTCAGGGTTGAGGTTGTTGTTGAAACCGTTGACGAGGTGCTTGTCCTGGGGGTGGTGAGGGGGTGAGCAAGGGGAGTTTCCAGATGAGAACCGATTTAAACCCTAAACCCTCAAAACCCTAAACCCAATGATTCCCAGGGGCCTTAGAAGGCTACGTTTGACCCCCAAAGGAAATGTCACTGTTACGCCCGGCCGGCGCAGGGAGACTTCGAGGACTCACAGCGGAAGAACGGATACAGATAATGATAGCAATGACCATAACAATAGTAAAAATAATCATCATAATCATAATTCTCGGTTTAGTCGCTCACTCTCGCACAAGGCCGGCAAGGCTCGGTTTAGGGTTTAGGTCCCCTGTTCAACGGGCAGGTGGACGCAAGTGGAACTGTTCGAGTTGTCTAGTGGGACAGACTCAGACTGCGACCTTGAAAGTGCATAGTTGACTCTTCAAGATGATGCGAGGGCCCCGCTCCCCCCACCCCTCTCCCACCAACATGATTATATTCTTTGGGCACATAGCCGCGCAGGACATGTTCGGATCCCCAAACTGCGGAGAAGGAGCTTGCTGGACGTCGAAGAAGTTGTTGTCGTCTGGGTGGTACTGGTCGTATTCGTGTAGGTTGTGGTGCCTGCTCATGGGCATGTTCTCCGAGCATGGCCCCACAGAAACCCTTTGAACACATATCGCGACTTACAAAGAGCTGCATGCACTAGCCATGGTATAGAAGCCAGGGTTTGGGAGCTTTACATCTTCGGGGTGCCCCAAAAGCCCATGACGGAGCTTCAATATCGGGGCAGGCAGTGGCACGTTGGCTCATGACACATTCTGCTGGCATGTTGGCTCATGACACATTCTGCTGGCAGGTACACATACCTTCACGATTTCCTCCGAAACTCCCAGTTCTGCTTCTAATATGCTCTCACCTCACGGTTCTGTCGTTTACTTCCGCGAAAGTCCTTAGAACCCCGAAAGTGCAGCCCTAGTCGCTTGTCGAAGTGGTTGTGGAGGTAGATGTTGCTGAAGATGTAGACGTACCCGATGTTGACGTTGCTGTCTTCGTGGTCTTGGTAGTTGTAGCCTCATGGCGGTGCGTCCACTGCCCTATGTGCCTAAGCCCTCCAGAACCCTCAACTGCTTTGGAGACAGGACTTGACGTGTTCCAACGACTACGAGTCTGAGTTGGCACTAGTTTGCCAGGGTAGATCATGCAGTCAAGCCAACACTTGAGCTCGTCGATGTTGTAAGTGTGGTAGTCACCTCTGCTGGATGGAAGTCTATACTCCCCTTTATAAAAATACTAATTTTGATATCCTCTTGGGTTTTAGGGGGATATAGAAGTTTCTCAGGCGACGCGAAGGCTCATCCCCGAACAGCGGGGCTTGCGGCGGGGCAAGCATGCGCTCACTTTCCAAACAGGTTTCAGTGCAAGCTCGGGCACAAGCATCATCTGCATGCTTGTACCATACCCGCGCGCGCCAGCAAAAAGTTTCACCGTGAGGATGGGGGGACATTGGGCGACCTTGTGCCCAACATCCTACAGAGGACTAAGGCCTCGCCCCGAAGACCGCTAAGGGTTTAGGGTTTAGGGTTTCGACCTTTTCTTCCCACCCGACTAGCCACAGCAAACTTTAGGGTTTAGGGTTTAGGGTATCCCTACGTGTTGTGAAACTTTTGGGGACAGGATGTAGACAGCAAGTAGGAGAAGTTTTGGTTCAGGCCCTGGAGGAACCGTGGTCGAAGCGATGAAGACAGAGGTGCTCATGGTTAGGCTGCGCATGCATCGACTGTCGGAAAGGTCAAAGGCACCCCCCCCCCCCCCCCCCCGTTACTGCAACTGCCGCCTGGGGAAGCCCCCCCAATGCTTATCCCGAACCTCAAGAGACTCGAACCCTGAATAGTCCTGAAACCCTTGTAGCACATCTAAGACCCAGAGAGTGTGCAAGGTCAGGGTGCGCTCGTGGACGTCGCTGTTTTGGTTGTGGTGGACATTGTGGTCGTCGAAGTCGCCTAGGCACATGGGGCCAGAAGCTTTTTTGAACCCTCTATCGAATGCGCATATATGAAGAAGTAAACAAAGCCCAAACCCCCGCGAACCGCCCCTGTCTCCAAAATCCAACAACCAAATCCGCCCTAACCTCGAAAGCCTATGCCACGGAAGGTAGCAGAAGTCAGGATGACCGCCCCAAGCCCCTTAGGAGGCTTGCTTTGTCCGCCCAGCTGGTAAGCCCATGTAAGCCATACAGGATGGGCTACTATTATTAGGCCCTATAATCCCCATAATCAACGCTCTAAAGGGCCTTATTCAGGGGCCATAGGGTATAATAGCCCATGCTGGTATATGCACAGTTACCCTAAACCACACTGGGCGCGTGGCCGTGGTCGACGTTGTCGTGGCACTGCTTGTTGAGGTTGAGGTGGTCGAGCTCGAGCTGCTCCTTGGAGCGGGAGCCCCAACGACCCTGACATTCTAGAGCCAAGAGTAACCTAGGCATAGAAAGGGTAACCTTTCTTGGTTCTATAAAGGGGCTTAGAAGGGAACCGAAGCCCCCCCAAACAAAGGGAATAAGGGCCTACTCTGGATCCCAATGGAAGACATTGGGCTCCACCTGCGTCTCGCGCCTAGGAGCCTTCAGGTTTTCAGGTTGTTGCAGGAAAGTGGGGGCCCAGGATGGATGAGGTACTTGGTAGCCAAGTAACCTATGATAAGGGCACCCTTTTTGAGTTGGCTATTTTATAGGGGAAACCATAAACAAAAAAAGGGTAAAGGGTACCACTGGGCTACTCAAGGGTACGGATGTCATGCGTATGGGCCGCAGAATGCAGCCGAGTCTCGTGCGCGAGGTACTTGAGGAGGTCGCCGATGTGGTGGAAGAGGAAGAGGTGGAAGAGCTTGTAACACTGGTTGACATTGTTGAGGAGGATGTAAAGGAGGTGGATGTGCTCCTTTTCCCAAGCTGTTTCTGCAGTGGACAGGTTTAAGGACCACAGCCGACCCAGAGATTGTGCGGCAGACAAGCCTCACGCCCTGCTGGTAAACCGCGTTCTTTTTTTTAAATATATTCCGCACTCCTACCTATCACCGGGAAACCTGTGATCAAGACTCTGAGCAGGTCACGCGAAACGTCATGCAAGCTGGGCGAGCAGCAGCCCTTAAGACGTGATGAAAAGGTGTGTCACTTGCTGACCAGACACGTGCGAGATGTGCTCGTGGAGGTCTCGGAGGTGGAGGTCGTCGAGGTCGTGGACGACGAACTGCTTGTAACGGATGTGCTCGTTGAGGTGGCGGTCGTTGCAGTGGAGGAAGTGCTGGTAACAGACGATGTGTGTGTCATTGTTGCGGTCGTGCTTGTAGAGCTTGAAGTGTAGGTCGTTGTGCTTGTCTTGCTGCTGCTGGAGGAGGTGCTTGTGACGGAAGTGGTTGTGGCCGTAACTGTCGACGTCGACGTCAGAGTTCTTGTGGAAGAAGTGCTTGTCGAAGACGTCGTGCTAGTGCTGGAGACTGTCGTGGAGGTGGTTGTTGAGCTACTGGTGGATATGCCTATACTCCCCTTAGAACCTTAAGAAAACACAATATGTGAAAAATCCCCTTATAGGTTTTATATAAACAAAAATCAAAAATACTTCCCAAGGGGGATATAGATGCTTGTAGTGGAAGTGGACGACACAGTGATGGATGTGCTTGTTTCAGAGGTCGTTGAGGTTGAGCTCGATGTAGACGAAACGGTCGTGGAAGTGGTGATGGTGTAGGTTGTGGAGGAGGTTGTAGTAATGCTTGTTGTTGTCGTGGCTGTGACTGTGGAAGTGGTGGTTGCAGTGATTGTGGAAGTGGTAGTAGTTGTGCGTGTGCCGGAAGTTGTGGTCGTGAAGCTGTTGGTGGACGTTGTTGTGGTGGTGATGGTGCCTGTCGTCGTTGTGGTGGCCGTGAAACTGCTAGTTGAAGTCGCTGTGAAAGAGGTAGTGGTCGTGTGCGTTTCTGAGGTTGTCGTGGTGAGGGTCTTAGTGGACGTTGTTGTGCTGGTCATAGTGCCCGTCGTGGTTGTGGTGGCCGTGAAACTGCTAGTTGAAGTCGCTGTGAAAGAGGTGGTGGTCGTGTGCGTTCCTGAGGTTGTCGTGGTGAGGGTGTTGGTAGCTGTCGTTGTGCTGGTCATGGTGCCCGTCGTGCTTGTGGTAGCCGTGAAGCTGCTTGTTGAAGTCCCTGTAAAAGAGGTAGTGGTCGTGTGCGTTACTGAGGTTGAAGTCGTGGCAGTGGCAGTTCCTGATGTTGAGGAGGTGGCTGTGGCGGTGGAAGTGTTTGTAACTGTTGTAGTCCCACCAAAAGTTGTACTTGTGGTGTAGATAGGCTGTGGCATCCAAGTGAACTCATTCTGGGGCTTCACCATGCACTTTCCTCAGCTTGAAGTGGCTTACAGGGAAACTCGGATATTCAGTGCATGAGGTTCTCCCTGATTCGCAGCTCAGTCAGGGTTCACATGCCTGAGGTCTGAGAAAAAAAGGTATCAAGAAGCTGCGCGGGTCCCCTGCGCTCTGGGGAAGGCTGACAAAGAACTTTACGCTAGACTGGTTTTTGGAATTTTGGTGGTTCATTGGTGTAAGCAGCAAACCCCCGAACAGCGGTAGACCTAGCCTACCTATGATTATGATGCTTTGAACTCGCCGCTTCTACAAAATTTAGAACTGCTTTCGCTCAGGTGCCCGATTGGAAGATCGGGCGGAACGTGCAGTTCGGCTCTGCATTGCAGGCATCAGCCTCAGTAGCTTTGGACCAGGGTTTATGGGTGAGGGACCTAGACCTCACTTGTCCCGTTTGGTAAGCCTCTTGGGATCTAGGAGTAAGTTCTAACTACTACCCATTCCTGACTCGATTGCAAACTTCGGGTACATCTTCTTCTTCTTCTTTTTCCGGGAAGAGGGGAGGGGAAGGGGAAGGGCCCGCAGGGTGGGTAAAGGCCCCCCGCCAAGCTCCAAGGGATTCGCAGCTTCTGGTCGAAAGGTTGTGGGGATAAAGGGCGTAGTGTCTAGCTTGCTGCAGGGGTTAGGATTTGGTTTGCTGGCGGACCAACATAGGGTGTTCAAGTCCGGAGTTGAGGGGTGGGGGGGCTCAGGAACATGTACTCGATATATATATATATATATATATATATATATACACGTTATATTTGTATTTAATGCATATATATATATATAGATAGATAGATATGCAGTATGTATACATATGTAGTATATATAGATATGTATGTATGTATTTATTTTTGTTTATGCATTCACTTGACTTTATTCATGCATGTAGCGGCATGAGCCTCCACCTGGCATCTAGGAATCCAGAATTAGGCTTCGCACCATGCCTTGGACACGCAGATTGCTGTCTTGCGGGTGCAGCCCCCGAACCTAACAAGCTCAGGCCAGAACCTTACTGTTGGTTAGCAGGGAATGAGGGAATTGGGGCCCCTTGTCTACCCTTTCAGGGATTCTATCGGGTACCTCATTCAGACAAGACCGTCGACGAAGTTGGCCCCTGACCTCCCCGCTTGTGCAGCCATGGGTCATCTTCAATGATGACGCTGCAGCTCGAGATGTTGCCCATTACCTCGTCGTACTGCTGCTGATGATAAACCTGGGACGGTTGCTGATGCCAAGTGAGAAAGACGAGGCTAAGCTCAACTGAACCTTGAAACCCTAACCAACCTGTTTGAAGCGCAGGACTGCTACCAGTCTTCGTGGTGTTTTCTGGGCCCGAAGCTAAAATCCAACAGCCGGGATAAATGGAGCCCCAAGGCCTTGGGGGGGGGGGGGGGGGGGGGGCGGCGATGTACTGCAATCCAAGACAATCCCCATCCCAAACTCGCAAAGTCGCAGCCCCTTAAAGCCCAAGTACCGCCGACCCTACACCAACCATCATTCTGTACAACTTCTCGGACGGGTGACCGAACAAGATCGGAGATCAACAGCGGCAGGCTCCCACGAAGCGGTCATCGAACCTGCTGGTCGCCGTGGCAAGGCTCATGGTGGGGGCCTTCAGGTTGGGTGGGGGGGAGGGGGTGAAGGCCTAGTCAGGGCCCCATCTGTACTCGTTCTAGAAGCTTAGGGTTTTCCAGTTGTTTTTCGTTTGCTTGCTTGCTTGTCGGTTTGCTGCAGCTGCTGCTGCGGCGGCGGCTGCTGCTGGTGCTGCTGCTGTCTTCGTCTCACCCGAGGGTGGTATATACAAGTTGTGCGCTTCTGACTCCTACTTCTGAGGGCGGCGCGAAAAGGTGCACCTAAAAGACTCCTCTGAACCCCAAGTGGACTTTGCCAAGGCGGCGGGCGTGTGTAACCCGGGGGGGCAGCGGAAAAGGGCCGGCGTGGGTAGCAGCTAAAGTACGCGCTCGGTGCTGCGCAGGCAGCTCAGCAAGGGATGAGGGCGACTCTTGAACGGCATCAGGAAGCCGAGCGGAGGGGCATGCGGGCGGGGCAACGGGCAGGCATTGGCCATGGACTGTGAAGCACACATCCCGGATCGGAGAACTCAGCTCTCAGGGCTGAGTCAGCTCTCAGGGCTCAGCGAAGGGGGCGGTCACCCCAGCAGTCTCGGGCAGCCGGCGCAGGACAGCCCGAGCATTCTCGCGTTGCAGGGTGATGGCGAGGCACTGCAGAAGGCGAGCGGTCTCGGCAGCAGGGGTGTCTCCGGTCCGAGCCGCCAGAAGCCCGCCCAAGACGCGCCACGTTTCGGCGGCGGTGGGCCCCCAGCCACCGCTGCAGGCCTCCGCGACGAGGGGGATGAACTGCAGACCTTCGTCCGCACAATGCTTCGCAGTTTGTAGGTGGGTGCGCTTCTGTGCCTCATAGGCTTCGACAGCCGCCTGGCTGGACTGGGCTGACTGGGCCAAGGCTGCACCTGTGCGCATGCCAGAGGTGACGGCGAGGTCCAGAGCGGCGGGCCCGTGTAACCCCCATTGAGCGACCCACACATCTGCAGGCCGACGATGTCCCATGCCTCGCCCACCCGCCGCGGCCTCGTCAGCATCCGGGCGCAGAGGAAGGAGACCCGACTTCTCCACCTCAACCGTTAGACCAGCAGCCTGGACGCGGGCGGCCAGGATGGAGCGAAGGCGGTTGTGCCTTTTGACACGGTCTCCACCACATGGACAGGAACGGGAGTGGTCCCCAAATTGGTCGGCAACTCCATCGCAGAGAGGGCAAGCGGCATCCCCAACTGTGACAGGCAAGCGCAGACGGAGTTGGACCATGGTACGGAACAAGCGTGGCTCGACATGGAGTCCGAGTGCCTCGCTGGGCGGAGCATGCAGCCAAGCGCCAGCGCCGGGAAGCTCGAGCAGCTTGAGGTGGGCCCTGGCCGCAACACGGCCCGGTTCAGGAGTCAACATGCGCGAGACCACAGCGCGGTCCAGTGCCTGGGACAGCTGGCGCTGTCGGGTGTGGGGGTGCACCGGAACACTAAGGTGGTCATGCGGGGAGACGTTCTGGTTGTGAGTGGTGACTGCCGCAAGGTAGGCCGAGTTGGAGGCAGGGTCGTAGGCCGGATCCAAACCCACACAAGCAGAAGCAGTGCCTGCCAGAGAAGCTATGTAGGCGGCTGGCGCATGCAGCCAGGCCAGCCGGAGACCAAGCCCACCGACTGAGGTGCCAAGGGTGGCTTGCGCCCAAGCCTCAGCAGTGAGGGGGCCAGTGCACATGTGTTCCAAACATTTCCGCACATCGCTGTCAAACGCTTCAAGTGAGTCACGGTGCAACCCGGGCGGGGTGACCCTCGAGGAGTAGGCGATGCGGCAGAAGGAAGCACAGTGGCGGAGGAGCAGGAGGCCGGTCTGGGTGTCAGGGAGGGTCGCCAACTCTCGAAGTAGCGGCCTTGCCTTTTCCACACGCTCAGCCATCGTGAACGCCTCGCAGTAGGCAGGCGGACCGACGGGGGCCCCCAGGAAGGAGAAAGCTCCGGAAGAGTTCACTCGCACACCGGCAGGGAAAGCGCGCATGTCAACGCAGCTGTCGGGCCCAGCGCAGGTAACAACTTCGCACTTGCTGGGATTGAGTTCCAACCCGACCTGACGCGCGGCGGCGGCGAGGCGGGCCAGGCTGGCAGCAACATGACGGTAATCTCCGGCCAAGCAGACATCGTCCAGGAAGGCCAGAACCAGTGCAGGCGGGGTTAGGCCAGAGCCCGCAGCTTGCAGGGCAGGATGAAGAGCCAGGGAGAAAAGGAGGGGGCCAAGCGGGTCGCCCTGCTGAACCCCGGCTTCCGACGACAGGCACGCGTCCCCAAAGAGCAGGCGGCTGTGCCGGTCATAGGTCCACTCAGCCCAGGCAGAAAGGCTGTCTTCGTCGGTCGTTGAGGTGGTTCTGGTAGTTGTGGAAGTCGTGGTATTTGTGGTAGTCGTGGTAAGTTGTGGCAGTTGTGGTTGTTGCTGCTGTTGGTGTTGCTATCTTTGATGCTGCTGTCTCCGTGACGCGCCTGGCATGGGTAACGCAGAAGATGCCCCTAATGAGGATGATGACGACGATGACAAGGCCCGAGCCAGGAACAAACCCTTCGCCTATGCATGCTCTATACTTTGAGCCCCAAACAAACCTAAACCCTAAACCTTAACTTCGCAGCATGGGCACGCCAGCCAACTTTCTCCTTGTCCTCACGGCAGCAAAGTGGGGCTTACCACCCATGCAGAAGTGGCATCTGAGCAAACGAAGAGTTTAGGGTTTAGGGTTTAGGGTTAAGTATTTAGGGTTTAGGGTTTAGGAGATTGTAGGACGTGTTGCACCGGGCTCCCAGGCCACCGGCTTCATTCACTTCTTGAGGGCCCTGAGCCTGGCCATAAACCCTAAACCCTGGAATCCTTGGGCACGTAGTTCAGCAGCATTCCCATGGAGATCTGCCAGGCAAAGAAGTCCTCGAGCATCCCCCATCTCAAACGCACCCTTTAAGAACTCTCTGAGTGAACCTCTTTTGAGTCACCAATTTGAGAGGGGCGCAGGGGGTGAAGAGTTATAAGTGCATGAAAGGATTCTCCAATTTAACAAATCCTAGCTCTGCAGCGCTTCAATCGGCTTCCGAGACTTTCTCCCTTCAAAAAAGAAGCCCGTTAGCACATTCGCGGAAGCCGCTCGGCTGTGCCTCAACCCCGAACCTACCAGTACGGCCTTCCTGAGCCCTCTACTCGACACCTTGACTGCGTTTGCCATGAAGGGGTGAGGAATACGCACAGAAACACCATCTAAGCCCATATACCGCTAACCCTCAACCCTCACCCCCCAACCCTCAACCCTCGAAAAAAACCCACGGAACCGCACTCTGCACCACTGTTGAGCGGCATCGGCAGTCGGCCCAAATTGAAAGCTGCAGTTGGAGTACGTTCCTGCAGCGATCCGCAAAGGTTTTTGTCTCGGGCGTAAGGGCTTTAGGGCTCCGGGTTTAGATCAAAGAAACCTAGCTAGTTGTTGAGATGAAGATCTTACACAGCCAAAAATGTGCATTAGTACTCTTGTTATCCATATTAAAGTATGTGTATCTTGTGTGTCTATATTTATACATCTTATATTGAGTGTGTGTATATATATATATCTCATATCATATACCTTCTATATTTGTATATTGCACGCACGTAACTTTTCCGTAACAACCGCAAATCCCCAAACACCATCGTTTCAACAAGTTAGGATTGTGGGTTTCCCCTTCCCTGCCCAAGCACCTAGGGCATTGGTTGCCACCCGCCAGTCTTCGCAGAAGGCTTGCACCTGGCGCAGCACTGCGGGAAAAAGGGTGCTACAGCTCAATCAAGATTTAGGATTCTTCATTTTTGCCACCCGCAGGGTTTATTGTTTAGGGTTAAGGGTTTAGGGTCTCCTCATCCGATAAGCGATGAGTTGCAAGAACATGAGCCCACAAAACTCTTTATCAGGCCTCGGCGGTGTGGAACACCACGTCAAAGGTGTCCTCAGTTCCGGACAGGGCCCGCAAGTTGGACTATGCTTCGTTGCTGAATTCAGAAGCCCCAAAAAAGTGTACACTTTTGGTTTTATAGGGGATTATAGTATCCCCAAAAGTATAAAGTGTACTCATTCAGCCACTGAATGTATGTCTAGTGGAGCAAGGAATGGGGAGAAAGGGGTAGGGGCACCTAACTCCCACTCTCACCGGCAAGACCCCTTCAGGTGTGGGTGTGCAGCCGGGACCACACCGTGGGAATCTCTAAGTCTGCCTGCGTTGGGCTTCACGGAACATTCCATGGTTTTGAAAGTTTAGGCTCTCCTTCTTTTCACCCTTTTAGAGCCCGTCAGACTGTCGGGGAACTGGAGTTCTTAGCGGAGACTGGTTGGATGACGACAACCTACAAACAGCGCCCTAAACCTACAGAAAAAACAGAAAAAAAAAACCGTCCAGACTCCAATATGTCCTAAGCTACCCCTCCGCTCCCCCCCACTACCCCCCCCCCCCCCCCCCCCACCCCCGGTTCCCAACTCCCAACTCCTTCAACAAGTCCCTGAACCACCTTGCAACGCCAAAATCTCATAAGCCCTGAAGGCCCCACCCTGAACCACCTTGCAACGCCAAAACTTCACAAACCCCTGAAGGCTCCACGACAAAAAAACATGCAAAACTCACCCAACTCCCGAGCCCATGACATGGTGGAAGTTGAGCTGGATGCCGAAGAGTTCTTCGGCTTGCTGCAGGGTGAGCATACACCTTACAGAGGGTTCAGGGTCTCCCTCGGGCGCTGTCGCTGCATAGGTTTTTATTTTTGGCCACCCGCCTGGCAGACGTCCCTCTAGGATCAGCATTGAGTTTAGGGCTTAGGGTTTCCAAGGAGTCGATTCGGCATAATTAAGGGAGAGGGGGTTCTCTGAATGGTGGGCTCGCTCGTTTGTGTGGCCATAGGATGACGGGAACATGATCTTAAGAACCTCCCATATAGCCCCAATCTTCAGGAAGTGTGTGCCCGCAAACGCACGGAGGGACTCAGCACGGTAAAGTAGCCGGGGTCCTGAGCTCCTCACTCCCCCTCCTAATCCCTAAACCTAAAACCAAAAACTCTCAACCCTGTGTGTTTTTGTTGGTTTAGGGTGTAGGGGCCCTTGGGGTTTAAGGGCAGTCAGTTCTTGGCGTGCTGCCGGGCTCATACCGTATGGCATGGAGAAAGGGCCAGTGTCTGTTTTGAAGGCTTCCTTAGGGTTTAGGGTTTAGGGTTTAGGGTTTAGGGTTTAGGGTTTAGGGTTTAACTTTAAAGCTTGAGCCGGTGAAGGAGCTGTTTGGAGTCATCAGTTGGGATGCTCTCCTCTTATACTAAACAGTCCTTAATAGGGAGTATAGTACCCCCTATTAGAATCCCTATTTCAGGACTCCCAAGCTATCAGGAATAAACCGAGAGCTGCGCTCTTCAAGTCTTCGGGTCATGATTGAGCTTTTTTGTTACGATAACTTCTGAGCCAAGCACCTTATACCCGTAAGCTGAGAGGGTCAGGGGTGACTACAAGTACCCCAATGAACCCTTGGAACCCTCAAACCCCCGCACATCAGCACGAGAAGCTCTGTGCGATCAGCGCAGAAGGATGAGCCGGTGTTAATGTAGGGGAGGACGGGCGCGCCTCTCAGGCGACTTGCAGGCATTGCGGTGGGGGGGGGGGGGGGTTACGTTTCCCCCGAACCCCCCCCCTCTTCCGCCCGCGATTTCGCAAACAACGCCCACATAAGGCTTCAGTAACGATTGCTTTGGCATTTCCACAAGGCTCCAAATTGCCCCAAAGTTACAAATGTTAGTGTAGGAATTATTTGTCTGGGGAATAGTCTTTTGGGGTCTGTGGATGTTGGAGCTTCGGTGCCTTGATATGGCTATTTCCACAAAAAGTGGTACCCCTTCTATACCCCCATAACGACATCATCCTTATCATAAGAACCCCGAGATAGATACTTTGTGACTTTGGGGACCGCCCCATAGTTTGGGGGCTGAGGTGGAGCCTACCTGCTCAGGTTTCCTGATGCGTGTCTATGGCGGTTCTTGGCCGGCCCATGGATGTCATTCAAAGTAAGCTTACGCGGCTTTTGTGTTCAGGACACTGAAGGCACACGTGATCCCACTTAAAACGACTTATGAGCCTACCTGCGTCCAGCGCTCGGAGGCATGTGCTGTAGGAGGCTGGATTCAAGAGATTCAAGAGTTGAGAGTTTGGGGTCTAGCGGTGTTGGGTGCAAGGCTAGAGTTCGGGGTGTTGCAGTGGCCCTAAACGCATCGGGTACTGCTGAGCCTTTATATTGTCTAAGACATAAAACACATCTTTTGTCTTTTTATAAGACAAAACTAAAACGCATCAGTCGGAAAGACTCTAGATGTCACCTCATGCGTCGGGTGGCTCACAACCTTTTTTGCAAAACCCTAAACCTTCAACCCAAACAAGGAGCCAATAGCTCTTCAGTGCAGGAGTTGCCTGTCGCATTGGCCAGGATGAATGTAGGACCTGCTCCAACTCCCCATTTGTGCCCGGGTTAAAAGCCCCGGCCAAACAGCGCAGGAGGGTATGACGGTTGTGCTCGGGAACTCTAAGCCCTGAAGCCTAAACCATCTCAAAAACTCAGTTTTTGACGCTCTTGATGGGCAATCTCAGGGCCATCTGTCCCCCACCAAAGCCGCGTATTTCCCAAAAAGCGGGACGACTGTAGGACAATCCTTGTTGCAGGAACAGGCTAAAAAACAAGAGGGCACCCCCTAAGTTTTAACAAAAACCAAAAAAGAAGGAGGGCCTGCGATGATGTGGTGAATGTCGGTGAAAGCCTGTGCCGCCAGGGCCAAGCCCGAAACCCTGAAATCTCCGAAGTTGGTGGTTTGAGGGGCCTTCGGTGGTGAAAAAAGAAAGGAAGCATCTTCCAGACACACGGCTGATGAGGGGGTCTGGGATACATGTTGCCTACTGCTGAATCAGTAGCATGTCGGAATGAGTTCGAGACTCAGAGGGCTTCGGGCTTCTTGGGACGAAGGTTTGGGGCACGCCCGAGGTAGGTGTAAAAGGTAGCAAGGTGCAGGGTTGCACCGGCTCTGGGGACCCTTGCGAAGCCCCCTTGGCCTTACGGCCTCTGCTCGGAATACACTAAAAAAATTGAGGGAGACTGCAGGTGGTACCACATTTAGGGCCTTTGACGTTTCGAAGCTCGCCATGGCTCAAGAAAGAAGAGCACCCGGAAGCCCTCTCTGCGACATCGACTACACTTCCTGAAGGTGCCTCCTGTCAACAGAATTAAGCATCAAAATCCTGGGGGGAAAACATCAAAACGGGGGGGGAATCCTAAGCCCTAAACCCCAATCATCCGACTGAGTATTCTCGTAAATCCCCAACCCTAGAGACCCAAATAAACCCCGCCACATGCCAAACAACCTGTAGCCAAACAGCCTTGACTTGAACCTTGTCCACTAGGTCACTAGGTCTTGCAACGGCCTCTAGTTTACACTTCCTCGTGGTCGGCATTTGGATAGCTGGTCGCTGTCTACAGTAGGACTTTCCGGGTTATGGTCCTGCACCCTTTTAATTTTGTTGTTGAACCCTGCACCGTGAATCCTCAAACCCATGCACATTTATCCCGCAAAAAGCCCGGAACACCCCAAAACAGTCTCATAGACCAAGGGCAAAGTAAGGTGTCGTCGCCAAGGATGCCAGCTCACACATGGCCTTCACTTGGAGTTGGAGCTTCGACGCTGCCAGGTTTGCGCGGGGCTTGATGTTCTCGACTATGTACAACGTTCAGGGAGCCGATTTCACTTAGAGTCCGGCATTGAGAGTTTAACCAAACACACACTTGCCTTGAGTAGAGTACATCGCATGCCCGTCAAAGACCCCATCCGTGCACGAGACTCGTCTCTGCATCCCAAGACCCCGAAACCCCAAACCCTAGATGCTCCTACTAAAGTCGTGAAGCCGTCGAGTCGCAGCGAGGCCAGCAAAGGGTAACATGGCGAATCCACACTTGGGAAGCCTCAACCCTGCGTAAGGATATCGGGCAGTCCTCCAAATTATGGTCCCTGGTCCCTTTGGGTGCCCTGCGTATGTCGGCCTTTTGAGGCACAAGGAGGGATAGCTACATATAAATTGTTTTTGCGTCCCACATGGCAAGACAGCCTGAACCTTCAAGGTTGGTGAAGGTAAACGCCCGGCAGCATGGGCAAGGCTTAATGCCCATTGCTGCCAAGACACGAAGTAGAGACGCTTGTGGGCCTTGCAGACGTCGGAAGTTGCTTCACGGTGCCAGGCGGCAGGGATATGGGTTCAGATGTCCTATTTTTGGGGGAGTTCAAGTCAAGGTACACAGGGCTTAAAGACTCCCTAAACCTTAAACCCTAAACCCTAAACCGGAAACTGTTCACCTTGGGAACCCAAAAGGGGTTACGCCATCCTCGACAGGATCTCGGCTGGCCCTCACAGAAAAAAGCCATATGAACCAAGGGTCTACCTAGGAAACCTTTGTTTAGGGTTTAGGGTTTAGGGTTTAGGATTTAGGGTTTAGGGTTTAGGGACTCTAAACCCTTAACCCCAAACCCTGAACACAAACCCGAAACCCTAAACCCTGGTGCTGGGTCCTCTCACCCACTAGTGCGGCCACCCATCTTGAAGAGCTACATCGTGGGCACTCTTTATTTGCGTGAAAAGCAAGCTCCGGTGTAGGGATGCTTAGGCTTTATAGCACCTATTTAACCAGTTTCTTTCTTGCTAACTCCAACATGGGCCCTGGAAGACTTCCGGCTAAGATTTCTTGGAGTGGACAGCCCCTTTGCACGTTCAGGGGTCTATCACAATACCGATACCCCCACAGAAGGTTGACGGTTTACTCCTCAGCTCCCCAGTGCAAGTGCCGTCGAGGCGCTTTACGGAACTGCACCCGCGTCTCGCCGTTCGGGGTGTCGAAGATCTCCTGCCGCAGCAGTTGAATTTCCCACGTCCCCCAATCATCTGTCATCTTGGTCCAAGCCTTGCTTGTCTGACTTGAAAGCCTTCATAGGGAATAATAGGGCTTTATGGGGACCGCCTGCGACTGAGATCGAATTTGGGATGTCGGCAGAGTGAGTAAACTCCTTTAAGCAGAGGGCCCTTTCGGTTTAAGAGGACTTCATCGGGAGGATGCTGAGGAGCTTAATTGAACAGCGGAACTCAGGGCCTCTTAGGGTACCACGAAACCTACAGCCTTCAGGCTCTTGTGATGCCACGGGGTCAGCTCTCTCAAGGCTTTTAGGTTTGCACCTCCGGCTTGCGCGGTTTCTAGGGTCCACGGCTCAGATTCAATTTCTTTGAGGCCTCTGCTTCGGCAATGAAGGGAGGTTTAGGGGTTTAGGGTTTAGGGTTCAGGGCTGAGGGTTGAGGGTTCAATTAGGGTTTAGGCAACTTGAAGATGGCTAGTCCTAGGACCTCTCGAAGCCCCACAGGTGGGCTTAACTCAACTCTAAGCCCCCTTGGCCTTTTGGTACCCGCCACGGTTTCTAAGGAGCTTGCTATGCTCGAAGCAAGACCAGGACTCTCAAGTTGGATGCCCGCCCCATACCCGGTCATGGCCCTACCTTCTTCAGCAACCTGGGAATTGCAACCCTTTTGGGGGCTTAACGGGGCTGAACCCTAAACCCTAAACCCTAAACCCTGAACCCTCTAAGAAAAAGAGAATTCCGTGGCCCAAAACTCCAGACCGAAGAAGGGAGCCCACAGTGCACATCAAACCTGGACCTCCCAGAATGACGAATGTCTACTGAGCCTGTTTAGGTACAAGGCTTCGTTTAGTAGCTGCGGTTTAGGGTTTAGGGTTTAGGGTTTAAGGCTCCCTTGATGCCATCCTCGGTCCCATTCGGCATGATTTGCGTGGCAGACTTGCCAGACAGCACAATGATTTCCCTGCCGCCACAGCAGCTGAAGGACATGCGGTGGACTTACTGTAGGGTTTGCCAGCTTCTGCCAAGTCATCTGGGATGCAACCCCACAGCACTTATCAAGTACATCCGATACTATGGTGGCAAGCTGGGGGTGGCTGTGCGCGGCACTCGGTTGGGCGCACGCTTTGCATAAGCCCGAACCGCAACTCCAAACCGAAATGCCCTTGGAGGCAACCCGAACCCTCAAGTCTCAACACTGGGCCCTGACTTAGGCGCTGCACCGGCTTCGCCAGTACGACTGCTTCTGGTGGAATCTTTGCAGGCCCTAAACCCTCAACCCTCAACCCTCAACCCTAAACGGGTGTTTGAAGGTGCTTTGCCAGCTGAGGCCGCCGATTGACAGCGGACAAAGGAGGATCAAAGAGGGTTCTTGGTCACCCACCAAAGCAGTCTGAGCTGCAGGGCAGGGTAATATGTCAGGATTGCGGCAAAGCGACTGTGCTGAAGGCCGAGGGTCGTAGAAGGAAGGGGTTGCGAAACATACACAAATACATAGGTTTACGGCTCAAGGACAGCCTGTGCCGGCACTTTCGCCTGTCCCCAAAAGCCAAACTACCAGTACCCAACCACAACACTGAAGTTTCTAACCTGCGAGATCATGTAGGGACCCCTAGCTGGATAAGTCAGATGCAGGCATCTGAGGGCTTGACCTTGAGCCCTGTAGGGCGACTGCATTTCTAGTCTAACCCTCCCAAAGAACCCTACTTACAACGACTCATGAACCCGCATGCTAGGGTTGAGGGTAGGGCTCGAGAGGCCCCACGCGCCTAAATGGATGGCTGGAGTTGATCGACTGGTTGAACATGTCGTACCTGGGTTCAGGTGGGCGCCCCGGGGCTCCTGGGGCCTGAACGCTACTTCAAGGCTGACGGTTTTAAGCTTCTAAGCTTCTAAGTTGGGATGTTCCCCGTTAGACTAACAGTCCTTAATAGGGATTATCGTACCCCCTATTGAAACCCCTATTATGGACTGGTGGTATAAGGGGGAACATCCCAACTTCTAGGGTGGAAACAACTGCAATATATGACCCTTGCTAACATCATGGCGCGTGTTTTGTCTTATGTACGTATAGCTAGCCATGACATCCAAGCACCCTTTGGGATCCTTTAAGGGACGGAGACTTCAAGCTCAGATATAGCTCCGCACGCCTCGGCGACCGAGAATCGTGTTGGGTGTGTGTGTGTGTGTGGCCTCTACCCAACCAGCACACCACAGCAAAACAAAGCGGTTCTCGAGTTTATAGGGTCTCAACCCACGCAACTCCTCCTCCTAAGCAACCCACAGGAGGGAGCCACCCGCCTTGAACCCGTGAAGGGTTCAGCTGCCAAGGAATTGTAGGAGGGAGAGCTATAGAAAGGACCCTTTTATCCTCTGGGTTATGGAGTCTGCGCTGTCTTCCCAGCCAATGGGCGAAGTTCCGTAGGCAGCGACACCAAGCGTGATGTTGTCCTCTCAAGGTTATCAATATGCTTGGGGAGGAGGGAAACCCTAAACCCTAGACCCTTTTTAAGCACGGACTGAGGAGGCTGCCGGCACCTAAACCCTAAACCCTAAACCGGGCGCGAGCGGACTGGGAGGGCCAGGGATGAACCTGAACCTCGGTGTGCAGCATGCCAAGGGTTTAGGGTTCAGGGTTTAGCCCGGTGGCGTGCGATAGGAGAGGTAGGAACCATATGGGAGAAAGCACCCCTACCCTGGAAGATGGCCCCTGTTCCCACGGCCCTTTTTTTTAGCGCATTCGAGGGCGAGACCTGAAATCTGCAAGCCTCGACATCCCGGACTCCCAAGCGCCCCCCCCCCCCCCCCCCCCCCCAAAAAAAAAAAAAACAAACCCTAAACCCGAAGGCTTCCGATTGCCTGGCCTGAAGGTTGACAAAAATGTTGCTCGTCGCCCTGAGGGCACCCAAGAGTCAGACAAAGTTTGCTTAAACGCCATGAGCAGTTGCAACAGGGCTACAAGAAGGGCAATGCCAGGCAGCTATGGTTACAGGTGGTTTACAACCTTATTTGGGATGCACTACTACACTGCTAAGACGTACCGTGAACCTTTACGTGTGGCAGCCTAAGCTGCAGACACCCTCCGGCACAGCAAGGGGAAGAGGAGACCCTGTAACCATAGTTCAAGGCGAAGGCATGTGAACAGTCACTGAATCTAGGATGGCCCGTAAAACCCTCTGAAAAATATTCCTGAATCTGAACCTCGTAAACCCAAGAAGGGAAAACATCAAATGTCCCAAGGGCCTACTTAGTCACTGAATTTCTACTGCACGTTAGGGCATTTGAAGCATTTTTGCAGCGACATGTCTAAGAAGCAACGTGTGTTTTGCACCGCAAAACCATCCGCTGCCCTTTGCACCGAGTTGCCCGTGTCGCACGTAAACGCCGACCTCGAAGCCTGAAATAGGACGCTCCAAGCTTCTTTCGAGGCTCGTGAAAAATCAGAACGACTTCCAGACTATCTTGCACTGACCGCTTTAATGAAGATGGGTGAGCCGGTGGATCACGTTGGGGGGGGGGGGGGGGGTACACAGGGGAGTTTGTGGGTGACGTGGATGCATGCTAACTTGCAGTCGGGAGTCTAAAATGACGGACACCCAGTGCTAATTACAGCCAATGCCTCAAACCCTGTCCAAGCTACTGTCGTTGAGCAGTGTGTTGGCGTAATTTCCTGAGCACATGGCATACAGAGGCACTGCCTACGGTACTATGTTTCCCCTTGTCTGCCAAATACACGTAACAGTCCTTCCATTCGATTTGTGGGCTCTCGTTGGCACCCTGAACCAAAGGAACGTACTAAATCGAGTCCCCTACATCTTGCGCGTAGCTCCCCACAGCCTCGTCAAGCTGAAATTATGAGCTTTGCCTGTGCTGCCTGGCATTTCCGATGGGTTTAGGGTTTAGGGTTTAGGGTTTAGGGTTTAGGGTTGACCAGGCGTCCGATGCCAAGGGACCAGCTACTTAAGAGATGCTATTCGATGCAGGAGTGATGCTGCTCAGTTTCCGATCAACGTGGAATCGCCCAGGTACCTGAGATCTTTGCACAACGGCTGGCTCCAACTGCTTACAAGGAGGGGCCCCCTTGCTATACTAACTGTAGTTAAGGGACTTATAACCCAATTTAGGATCCGTATAACCCAATTTAGGGTTCTTATAACTCTACTTATAACTACGGGGGCCCCTCCTTGTAGAGCAGACATGACCTGCAAGAAAGAAAGGTAAGCAAGAGCCCTCTAGCTACTCCAAACTACTCCTACGAGGCTGCCTAGCAAGCTGCAGTTGAAAACGGCCCATGTTTTTGCCCCCTCAGCTAGACGGCCCTTGGTGATCATCTAATTGTGCCGCTGTGTTGCGGATCTTCTCCAGTGGGCACCAGCGCTGCATATGCGTCGGCGTAATCCTGATTTGCACCTGAGGCAGACCCATCGTTTTAACCACGAGTTCAACACCTTAATTTTGGGATGTGCCCCCTTATACTAACAGTCCTGAACAGGGATTATGGTACCCCCTACTATAATACCGATTAACGAATGCTAGTATAACTAAGGGGGAACATCCCAACCTCAATTATTCATCAGTGTGCCGGAAGAAGTTCGCAATCCTTTTGTGAGCTCACGCTCTGAACTATACTTGTAGAACGACCCAACGAGCAACCAAGATTCAATTTTGGGATATTTCCCCCTTGTACTAACAGTCCTTAATAGGGGTTATAATGGGGGGTACTATACTCCCGAGTAAGGATTGTTAATATAAGGGGGGAACATCCCAAACTCAAGTTCTCAGGTAGAGACCCCAGAGAATCTCAAAGTTTCTCTCGGTCCCTCTCCTCTGTTTCTGTCCTCCTTCTGCACTCCTTAGGGGCCTCCTTTCCAGGAACAAATTCTGATTTTATACGGTCTCTTGCAGCCCCTACAAGCCATGCTGCTTTGGAAACCACAGATCATCTGGCTCACATGAGAAACGCTCACAAAAGCCTGGCAACAACATCGCGATTTGCCCTTGAGCCTTCAAGTACTTGTAAAAGGCTCATGGACAGTTATCAGCAAAGTTATGTATTTGGTTCAGAAAGCAACACTAGAAACCAGACTGCATAGTGATTCTAACTGAGTATGCGACTGCATGAAGTAAGACACCGGCACACAGCTTAGAGAAGTCAAACGCCTAAACCCTAAACCCTAGACCCTAAACCCTGAACCGATGCAGATTCTGGCCTGACTTCGCATCCAGCGTCAAGTTGGCCATGCGCAGATCAAACGCCACAGTGTTGTTGTCCTTGGATCACTAGTATGCAGTTCATGGAAAGAGAGAGGGGAGGACGCACTCTTGAATTTCGTGAAACCCTAAACCCTACACCCCCAAATTTGCCCGTCAAGGCCCGACATCAAAGGTGCCAGGTTCTTGGGAAGGCGTTATTGATATATAAGGCGTGTATACAAATAGTTCATGTACGTATACAACATAACAAAAAGGTTCGTAATCTATATATATATACACACCTACTTCATGGTTGAGATAATAAGAAATTAAACTGCTATTCCTTACTGAGAAGCCTTACTGGGTTTAAGTACACTTCACATGCAAAATGTTACCCAACTATGACAAAGATACATATATATATATATATATTAATATATACACATACATATATGGCAATTTTGGCCAACCTCGATTGTGAAGGCTCCTGTATACACTACATGTTCGAATACGCTCCCTTGTATAAGGGTTAGAGCCATACTTGCTAAGCCTCGCAAAAAAACAAAACATCCAAATCCCAAAATACCAAAATCCAAACTTTCCAGGGAGAAGCTCAGGAAAAGTTTGGATTCTTGGCTGATTTGGACCTTGGACTCTTGGATTCTCGGATTTTTTGACTTTTGGATTTATGCTTTTCCATAAAATCAGTGCTACAAATGCAAAAACAAGCATGTTCAAACAGCAAAGACATGGATACAGGCACAAGAAGCACAAATAAGTGCAAAGCAAGGAAAACACCACAAATTCACGGCACGATTTTAGGCTTCGTTTCTATCCCTAAGCAAGGTTTTAGAGTTTAGCTTCGGGAACATTCCAAGCTTCAAACTTTTGGATGTCCACCCTAAACCCTAAACCCTAAACCCCAAACCCTAAACCCTAAGGGTATTAATGGACTAGACTCATTCTTAAGTCTGAACTGTCCAGGGGGCGGAATCTTTCTCTTCCTCGAGCCGGTCGTAAAGCCACCGCAGCCAGGGATGACGCAGGTTGTAGATGGCATTACCTGACTTCAGTTCGGGTTTATAGGGTCTGGGTTTAGGGTTTCGCCAGCCGCACAGGAGCGGGCGCCTGATGGGTTTAGGGTTTAGGGTTTGGGGTTCCAGGGTTTAGCAGGGTTCATTGCGTCAAAAGCGACTTGCGCAACAGGGCTCCCAGGAGGCGGCAGCGGTTGAAAGTCAAGCCCCTCCCCCCTCACGGCACGCTGGCGGAGACTGCCCCGAGCAGGAATGATGCAGCAACACTTTCACCCCCCCCTTCCAATAACAGCGCAGCAAAGCTGTCGGAAAAAGATCCAGGGCCAGGCTTTCCCGGCTTCTTGTCTAGGGATGGGTGTGGCCCAGGGTGGGATGCCTTGCGCTGCAAGCATGCAGCATGTGGCTGCTGCACTGCAACAATCCTTCTCAATCCCAAGTCCCACATCTCGGTTTACCAGCAAAGCCATTGAACACCAAGACCCTGAAAAGATGCCAATCCCAAAGCCCTCCCAACTGGGCCGTGCCACCGTTAATGTGCATAATGAGGTCCTCGGGCATCTGTTGCAGGAAGGAGTCCCAA